GGCGGTTATGTAAGACTTATGAATATACATGATAAATCTATATGATTTATGATGATTTATGAATATGTATGATTTATGATACCCAATCAACCCTCCCCAATTCTGGACCCCCAACGAAACCTGGTTCCGTTATTTGTTGACATACAAGACTTCCGCAGCAAGCAATTTGCTGCGGGTCGGGTTCAAGGGTTCTTTGAACCGTTCCAGGGGCAGCGCCTCTGGCAAGTTGGGTATTTAGATCGAGATTTAAACAGTCACATAAAATAACAGTTAAGTATGCAATGCATCTACAACAGGGTTAAAGCCATGTGTAAAACGAGCAAGAACCCTCACAAGTCAAGTTGTAAGTTCCATGTAGTACAATATATTATATAATTAATATTATTAATAATTAGCGTGTTTCAAACCGAATATAAAACCTAAACAAAGAAAAAAGAAAACAGCAAACGCAAGCGTGTCTAATTTCAAAGCACCACTGAAACAAAAAACACACTCCCAAACCCCGAGCACAGATGAAATACGTTCAAAGGTCATCGCGCGGAACTTAATTGCTTAGCAAGTAGTTGTAAGTACTTACTATGTTGAACCAAATGAGCTGTGCTTTTTAGGAGAGTGCCGGTACACTGCTGCGTTGCCTACGCTGAGGGTTTCGCAGGGTGAGAATTTGTGGGAAGGGTGGGTTCGCGAGGCTTCGCGCAACAACAGAGGCTTTGCGAATTGGTTTCACAACAACGTTCATACACTCTAAGTTGGCCTTCGCGAATTGGCTTCGCCTGTGTGAAATCTAAGGGCCTACGTGAATCGGCTTTAGCCTTCGCCACACGTAATGTATCACACAAATGAAATCGCAAAGATTTGGTGAGTTACAGTCTCATCTAAATTGCAACATTCAATCAGAAGACGCTACTCAAATGAACTACCACGTTAACTTATTTTTCAGTCCAACCAAGAAGTCGGTCTAGCTCGCAATCAGAAACAACCAAAAGGGTACCAGCATCTACCAGCGCCATTCGAACTAGGTATTCGGGTGAGCCATATTGCACAGTTTTCAGGGTATGGGTATCACGTGTCACACCGGGGCTCCGGATGGGCCAATACGCCCGTTGCTTTTGCGGTCCTAGGCATCGAAATTAGATACAAACTGCTTCTACCTGCCCTCCATGCAGTCCTCGGTGCAGTCCTCGGTTGTCCGCTTTCTTTTTTTTGGATGGCTCTCATTGCTGTACGTGTTTTTGTGTGTGTCCTTGAAAATGCATGCTCATTCCTATTCCTCTTTCCTTTCCGAACCTTTCTTCCGTTACTCCCCGCTCCGAAAATGCGAAGGCATGCGAGCGGCGAAAGGAACGACCTTTCGCTCTTCCCCCGAACCGAAGCGTCGCCCAAAGCTGATGATCCAAAACCAAAAAATCGAATCCACAAATAAAAACATATAAAAACCATCCATCCATGAGCATCCACAAGTTAAACATTTCTTATCTTTCTTATGTTTATTCTTCTTCTTCTTCTTCTTCTTCTTCTTCTTCTTCTGCTTCTTCTTCTAACTAATCAAATCATCGTAAATCACCCATCGACTGCGGTCGATCGAGTCAGAACTCCTCCAGCTGCTCTTTGAGCCGTTTCAACTCCTCAGCCATGGCGCTCGACTGCTTCATGGCCTCGCCCCCCGGCGAAGTGCAGTGAACTGGGTGGCTGGCATGGGAGGCACTAACGTCTGATCATCTCGACAAAGTATGAGGATGGCTGGATGACTGGTCTGAGGATGGCTGAGCTACCAACCCGCTGGGAGTTGGGAGTGGTAATAAAACATGGAATAATTGGTCTTGGTCCTTCGGACATGCCAAAACCATCCTAAACCTTCCTTGGCGGCAACAGTGCGAGAAGAAAACGACGGCATTCACTCAAAAACACACATGTCCTAGTCCCAGTCTGTCAAACATATCTCCACTTTTGCCTACTGCCACCAGGTAGCATCTTCGACGCCTTGGGGGTCTCTAGTACCCTTTCCCTGCTTCATGGACGTCATGGATCAGCATGGATCTCCAGTCGCTGCCCGCCCGCGGCCGCCCGTCGCGCGTAGTTCGTCGCGCGCGTAGTTCGTCGCGCCTCTCGAGCCGCTTTGCTCCTGCCGGTCATGGAGCATCCGACACCGTGTCGGACCCCGGGCGGGCGGTGCTCAGGTCGGCAGAACCGGGAGGCCACGTACGTCCCACCGCCACGCCGCCGGAAAAGGGAGGAGCCCAAGGGGGAAAAGCATTTCAGCATAGTTCGGTGATTTGTTTGGGCTCCCAGAAAGGTCTTCTAAAGGTGCTGGGTCCTGGCAGCTTTTCGCGTCCAAAGTGGGACTCTATATGGCTTTTTCATATGCTGCTTGTAGTGGTGTTCGCATCCTTGCCACCCGCCCACCAGCCAAAAAAAGACGTGATCTACAAGGATATCGAAGAAAAACAATATCAACAATAACTGTATCATCCTCTCCCTTCACTGGCCAACCGTAACACATCGAATAGAACGTGGAACCTGAAAACCACTAGGCGGGGCTGGCGTTCGGGAGCAGAAAAAAAAAAAAAAAACAAGCAAAACACCGTCTTCCAGTCGTCAGCTCCGTGCCATCCAGGAGTCCATTAAGTCCATGGAGTCTCTCCCGGAAGAGCTCGTTGGGGGCATCGACATGGGCGCGGCCGATCCGGCTCCTCTGTTCGACCGCGTCCTCCAGCTGTTGTCGGACCCTGAGACCCACGTCCGTCCGGTCCGTCCGGTGGCGGCGGCGGTGGTCGGATGAGGCGGCTCAGTCGGGTGTGGACCAACAGAGGTGGTTGAAGGACCCGAAGTCGCCTGTCCCAGTTCGGTACCCCGGGTGACAGGTCCTAGTTCAGGTCACTCAACCTCTCTTGGGAAGGAGGTGGAAGGGGAGATTTGGAGACACCACCTGAGTGCGGGTTGTTTGGTTGATGCATGTTGATGCATGTTGATGCTGATGCCGCGATGTCGGATGGGAGTCCCGTAGATGCTGGTAGGGCACCAAACACCGCCCACTGAAAGAGTGGGAGTGGCTTTGAGGGGATCGGGACCGAAGCGCTGACATGCACCTAGAACGGAATGGATGCTTCTTCCATTTCACACACGGCAGTTCGCCACATTCTCTGTGGCCCCAACGACTGTTCGGCAGCTTCCAAGCGCTTGTTCTGGACCTGCCAAACGCTCAGCACCGGGCCGGGTCAAACGCTCAGCACCGGGGCCGGGTCAAATCGGAATGGAAACCAGGCGGAAGAGGGCGGGGTCCCGGACACTCAGACTTGGGCGGGCTTCATGTCAACGTCCTGGCTCTGGGAGGGCGCATAAGGAACGGTTCTGGTCATGCACCATGTTTCAAGCCCAGCACGATTGGAGGGATGGCCTAATGTGTCCAATAGGCACCTATACATTCCTTAAGCCAAACTTTGCAAGAATCTAACTCAGGCTGGTAAGAATGCCGAACAAGAACAATCAACATACATAAAACTTAAAACCTCTCGAGCCCAGCGGCCAATTACTTGTAACAAAGGTCCCCGTAGCAGGTTCCACTGGCTCAAGCTGCACGATTGCGGTGGGCGCCAGCTGGGACATATGCCAGCTGGCCTGCGCTCTGGCTGCCATGATTTCCAAAAACTACAATACCAGGGCCCCCTAAGGGGTGTCTAATTCTAGCTCCTTAGAGGTTTTTCGGAATGTCCATGAACCACCCCAAACAGGGGGGCCCTGGCATGTATCAATATATTAAAGGGGTCTTCAACGTCCAAGCGTTCGGCCTTCCAGCGCACGAAGCACCCACACAAGACAGCAAGAGAAATTGATATCCTAAAACAGCCATAAAAGGATCATGTCCAGGGATTTCCTCTTCAAGCTGGCTCTCACAAGGCTGGTGTCGTTCTGCAACGTCCACACCACCATTCCCCAGATTCGCAATTGAGCCCAGCCATCCCCTGCGTGCAGTCTCGACTGGGCAAACGCTCAGTCCATGTTCTCACCTCTTTTCCGATTGGCTTCAGTGCAAAAGCCATGTTCAGGAACTTCCTTCCTCCACGGAAGCCGGCCCAAACCTCTCTCTTTTCTTCCGGAGTCAGCGAAGCGGACCCCGACGGACGGACCAAAAACATGGGAAAAAACCGAAAGCGACCCATGTTCAATCACCTAGCCCAGCCACCGAAGGAATTGGGGCGTCCCTTTAGGGACGCCACGCCCCTTCCGTAGGTCCAGGGATGTCCATTCACGGGTTCCAGGGCCCCAGACTGGCATAGATGCCAGCCCCATGGACCGCCCATCACCTACCTTGACTCCCGAGGTGTCGCCTCGGACAGCTTGAGGCTCTCTTCCGCCTGTCGCAAGTCCTCCTGAGCCTGGCGGACGGGTGGAGGGGTGGACGAAACCGTCGGGCAGCGGTGTGGCAAGATGATTCGCATCTAGAACCGGCTCCTGATTGATTTTAAAGACATTTGGATTCAAAAACCTCTTCATATTATATTAGGGGTTTTAGAAGCTGCTGCAAAACTGAAGTACAGTTCTCAGAGAGACAGCAGGGCGGCACAGCAGGGCGGCACCGAAGCAAATCCATCCTACAGGATGGATTAGACCCCCCAAAAAGCTCGCCGAAACAAGGGGTGCGTCACTCATGCGTCACTCACTCATCCATTCTGCGTCATCCATTCTGCTCCACTGAGGATGTGACCTGCATGAGCTCCTCCTGCAGCTGCTTCTCCCGTTCGCTGATCTGGGCAGGAACTGGGATCAACATGCATCCAGGGCCCAGTGGTCTGGGCCTGGAAGGGTTGATGAAAGGGGAAACACTTCGGCCAGTCAGGTCCCCGTCCAAAGTGGACCATGGCAAGTTGGAAGATGATTTTCTTGGAGGATGATTTTGGCAAGACTTTGCTGGGTCAGCGTTCTCAGAACTTGCTTGACCCGGCCCTTTATCTTCCTGGGGCGGCCCTGACAGCGTACCCAGGGCAAAATGTTCCTTATTTCAATAAAGGCTTAAATGCATGTCCAATTGCAATCTGCAGGTTCTGCCAGCAAAACTTACACCCTCCCTCCAACAATCAAGCTGACCAAGACCCCCTTCTATCATCTTCCAGGCCCCTACGGTCCAGTTGCATGATTTTTGCGGGGGGTGTACTGGTCCGACCACTACTCAGACACTCCATGTATGCCATATATGCCTACATTGACCCCCAAAACCACCCCAACGTAGGCATATATGGCACACATGGAGTGTCTGGGCTATGAAGAAACCCGCATCAACCTGCTACCCAGCCTGTCGCCCTGGCGCGCCCCTCTCTTTGACTTTCGGCATCCTTCAGCCCAAATGGGCCGCTGAAAAGACCATCAGCTTTTCACCGCACGCCATTCTTCACGTGGAGGAAGATCAACGATGGCTGAAACAGCCCCTGTGAGCTGATCAAGTTCCTCCTGCGATCACTCCCTGCGGCTACCTTCAATTCTCAAAGCCTTTTTCAACAGGTGCGTGGCCGCGCGGTGCGCCGCACGAGCTGCACCCGCAGACTGCTTCCGCTCCTTCAGGGTAGACCAGCGGTGGCGGTCAAGGTCAGCACAGACGTGGTGTGACTGCGTCCGACTTGGAAGAGTTGATGCGGAGCAATTTTCTATATCCCCATAAGCCGGTCAAGGGTCTCGATCTTGCGTCTGCTCACTGACCTGAGGATGAAAGCATGTCGACCTCAATTGCTCGCTGCTTCGAATGTGGTGAGAGCAGCTCGCCCTGCTCGCGCCTTCGCTTCGGCCGAAGCTGCCTGAAAGATTGAAAGAGCAATCCAGCATGATCCAGCCATAGAATCAACACATCCAGATCTGCATCATCAATAAATGTGTATGTAAAAGCCAATTCAGCATCATCAGTGGCTGTTCATGGGCTCCTTAACCCGGATTTGTACTAACCCGTGTCGTACTTCTTCAGCTCCGCATCGTGCTCGTGCAAGAAGATCTTCCGCCGGAGGCGTTGCTTGGGCGACTCAGTGCCAAGGCCCAGGTGGAAGAGGAGCAGCAGCACCTGCTTCTGAAAGCCCGCCTCAGCTTGATCTCGGACAGCCCCAGTTAAGAACCCCGGTGCCCGCCCAAACCCATTCCTGATGGCTCAGGCTCCAAAGGTCTTGGGGAACAAATCAGCTTAGAGCCGGGATGTGACGTGTCCACCAAAACTCTCAAAAACTTCTCATGGCCAGGCCATTCTTTGTAACAAAAGATCGGCTGCTGGGGAATCGGAGTTTCCACACGGCAACCAGCATCGACCACCGGATCGCCCCACCCGGTCGGCCCCGCAACGGATCGCGGCACGGAAGAAGACGGGACCCTGAGCAACCTGAGATAACCTGAGTGACCTCTGTTTTGGATCAGGTAGTTAACCCCCATAGAAAAAAGATCTCTCTCTCTCTCTCTTTGTGGTCTTGTCATGTCCTTTCCTATGAGTCCTGGGCTCTAGGACTAGTCCCATCCTCTCCGACAGGCCTGTCGCACCGAACTGAAATGCCCAGCGTTGACCACGGATGCGGCGAACCCTCCGGCACCATCCAACCCGATCCTCGCCAGTCGCTCACCCAGCCGCTCCCAGTGGCTGCGCCGAAAGCATCTGCCAGGCGCCAGGCTTCAGCAACATCAAGGTGCCCACGGGGACACCTGGCTTCGGGCGCTGGAGCGCGTCTCCAACGTTCGGGTGGTTGGCGGGCCTTCTTTGGCAGGGGGCAGCTGGTCTAGAATCCATCCATCTTCGTGGGCTGGGGCCAAAACCCTGAAGGCCAAAAAAACATGAAGACTTCATGAAGACTTCATGAAGACTTCTCCACTTCTCCCCACTGAGCAAGGCCACTTCATCCCATCCACCCCCATCCGCGCCTTGCTCCACCCAGCCAGTTCTCGGTGCTGCATCGGTCGAGCAATCTTGATGGTCCTTCCAGTGCCTGACGGTCCTTGGTGTGTGCAGCGACGGAGCTTGCATCGCCCCATCATAAAATCCACCATGAATAACTTATATTAATATTTGGCCCAACTTAATATAAATTGCTATGATGTTGGGCCATCTTCTAGAGAGCCAGACGGGATCCAGAGCCAGAGGGGGGTTGGCAGAGCATGGCAGAGCATGGCAGAGCTCATGCGAACGGTCGTTTCTACGCACCCCACCTGGCCTCTGTTCAGGTTCCATTCAGCCAAGTAAACTCCCACACACAACGGGGCCCAAAATTAGCCTATGACCCTCTCTCCAACAATCATGGAACTGGAATGTGCCTTTGGGAAGGCCCAAACAGCGGGGGGGGGACCCTTCCATGTTTCTTAGAAAATTCCACCGATCAGCGGTCCTTGAAACTACCACCACCACCCAACTCAGCCAGCTCCGAGATGCAGAGTGTCGCTCAGCACCAGCAGCGCGACACGATGCGACTGTCCTGAGTCCGCTCAGGGCAGTCGCTGAGGCGACAAATCGCTGGGTTATTAACTCATTATGTCCCTCCATGCCCCTCTATGCCACGCTATGCCACGCTACGCAGACCAAAAGAAAACGGGAAATTGACGGAGAGAGGGGGTGCAGTGGAGACGCGGCATCGATGGCAAAACCCCCCAAAAACGGTCCTCAAAAGTCGATGTCGGGTCCGTCGGGTCCGTCTTGCACGAAACCGAGGTTTCGGCAGGTGTCAACCCCTCGCCATGCTGGGGGAAGGTGTGCTCATCTCCGACCTGCTGGAAGGACCCAGAAGGCCGAATTCCAGCGACCGGCGGAGGGATCTCCCTTTTCTTCCATGTTCCGCACGCTCTGCACTTGCCCGGAGCCTTGGGGTGACTATAATATAGGGATCCAAGTACCTTCTCAGAAGGTACGACTGGACCCTCCAATCACCTTCTGAGAAGGTACTTGGATCCCTCCAGATAGCCAATTCCCCTTGCGTCCGAGCTACCGAAGCATTCCACACCTAAGGTGCCCGCGCCATAGCTCCGTGCCATCACGTCCGCCAGTGGCAGGCCTCGATTCCGGAGGCTTGTTCAACCAAGAGACCAGATCCGGCCCAACAAGTCTAACACAACACAGACAAACCACCATGCCCTGGGAGTCAAAGACGAACAAAAAAGAATGGCCTTTAGGTGACCCGAAGAGGAACTTCCTTTACTTCAGTCGGTCAAAATATAGTCTTTGGACTTCTAGGGGCCAGGGGCCAGCAAACAATGATGAGAATCTCAGACTGTATAGCCGCTGAGCCTGCCTTCGAAATCCTGAGCGTTTCATCATGTTCAGTCGTTTCCCCACTCTGTTCACCTAAAGTGGTAAAGGTCTTAGGTCTGTGGCTGGGTGTGCTTGCGCCAAACTCCAGCTCACACTGTGCTTCGCAGCAAGTGGCTGTACTTTGCTCATAGGGTTGAATGGTTTTTACCTCGCAGTTCTTTCCGTAAAATGCTTCTTGGCCACTGCTCAGGCTCGTACCTCCTGAAAACTCGCCTGAACATCCCCTATAGTCTCCAAGCGAGCCATTCACCCTGTCCCACCCGCACGCCACCCTGTCCCACTGCTATGCAGCACCCCCTGTCCCACTCTCTTCGCAGCCTGCGGCCCTGGCAACTTGCAGCCCCAACTCCAAGAAAGGCGCCTGGTGAAGGCCTCAAAAAGCCGCTCCAAAAAGGCTGGCGTGAGGCGTGAGGTGTGTGGTGGGCGGCGTCCGCGGGAAAATGAATCCATGACGATTCCTGCTAGCAATCCAATGGGCCCCCCATATGAAGAGGTTTGGTTCAATCCAAATTTCAAATTGGTCTGAAATCCAGAGCCACATTCTATACTCACTACTATACTGTACTCACTCAAATCAAGAGCCATTTTATTGACCCCAAGAAAACGACAACCAAATGAATGAACCAGCAGTTCCAACTTGGGGTGCTATCCATGGAGGTTGTGGGTGCCCAGAACATCCACTCACTGATGGACCAAACACCACCCCTCTGCGCCTCCTGGAATCCAAATCGACGTGTCCGAAAGGAGCAGGTGCAAAAGCTTGGAGGCTTCTTTTTGAGCGCAGCAGTCCCTAGCCGCAGCAGTCCCTATCCCTGAGATGTGTTCGCCCAGGGAAGGCATCACTGAGAATGAATACAGTCCAGTCTTTCCCGCCTTTCACGGACATGGCCCGTCCCTTCGGAGCGCCCCAAGTGGGGTCGAACGACGGAAGCGAAATCGCTGAGGACCTCCCGGATGACGGCAAGCTAGAGAGGTTGACCGTAAATAGGACCCCTAGCCTGGGGTACTTATTGGATGGTCTACGGGGTTCTTCAACCTCTGTTTGGAATTCAGACCGTGGCACAGTCGACCAGGTCGGTCGACCATATGGTTCAGACGTGGCTGGTTCTCCAGAGATCCAGATCACTGAGGCGACTTGGAAGTGCAGATTTTCAGGTACACCTGGGAAGCGGCCCAAGTGCAGACTGGAAGACTACTCAAGTGGAACCTGAACGTGGACCAGACTGGAAGACTACTTTCCTCTACAACCCAGTGGTTTTCAGGTTCTATGATTTCTACTATGTTAATCTTCCCGCGGGTGTAGGTGGATCCAAGGTTGGATCATGTTGGATGTGGATACCCAGCAGGCTGCAGCTGAGACACCATCTCTCAATTCAGCCTCCAAGGCAACACCTGAAAGGGGAATTGATCGTTCAGGCAGAACTTCAACGATGCAAGGCAGCAGTCTGCGAAACGCGTGTTTCTTCCATGTCTTCCTAATCATGCACTCCGCAACTCTCCGGGGCTCTAGGCTACTGTCATCTGGGCTTTCATGAAAAGCGTTTTCCGCGCTGGGCTTCGAAAGGTGCACGTGGTCGGAAACCTTGACACGTCTGACAGTTGCCCATTCGCACCATCGCTCTAGTAGAATGGCTCTGGTAGCACCGGGTCAACTAGAACCAGACAAAACGTCTCCATGGACCTTCAAAGGGGTGTTCAATACAGATCCCATCAGATCCCTAAGTAGCGGGCTGGGGCTTCCATTAGTAACCTGTTTGAAGGTGCTGGTCCCCTCAATTTGAAGGATTCATCGATACACTGCCGACTGCCCAGCGAGCCGTGAGCCGTATGTCGCCGTACTCCCATCTGTCCCTCCTTTACACTTCGCCGCACCTTGCCGGGCTCGGAACCACACCGTGGAGGAACGTAAGAGCTCCACCAACTTCGTCAGCACCTGTGACGAACGCAGCACGAGCAGTCGAGCAGCTGGCGAGGCCGGCTCCAGGCGTGCCAAGGAGAAGCGCCAGGAGCAGCAGCATGATGTCAGCGACTCCCTTTCGTAAGGAAGGTGGGGTTCTTCTTAGATCAAGATCAAAAAGGTCAACCGTCAACTTGCAAAACATCCTCAAAGCCCATGCAAAATTACAGCAACTGTGGCCCTTGACGTGCTCTTTGTGGGTGGAAAAGAAGGGTCATCGTTCCGGCCCTATGCCACTCGCCGCCGGCGCGTGGCACCACCTGCGGTGAGAGGATCAAGGGGTCTCCAGGCTGAAGGCCTTGGACATGCTCAAGAGACCTTGGTGGAATGACATGCGAAGAAAGCCGAACTTGCAGGGCTGGAATGGGGTTGGGCTGCCCAATGTTTGGCAAAAACCTCCCCTGGATGGGGCTAAAGATGCCAAAGATGTTTGCTTCACTCTCATTCGCTGTCTGAAGAGGCCACTTGGAACATGTGGCTCTGGCGATTGATGGGACGCACCCTCTCTGTCCCCAGCTTTTTCCACGTCTTTCCCCCGAGTGAGGCTTCCCCATCTCTCCAGATCTCCCTTCCACCGCTCTATCACCGCTCCACCACACGTGCACCGCTCAGCAGCCACGCCGCGTGTCGGGAAGGTCTCCTCCGCTGGGCACGTGGAGCGCGCGCCCGAGAGGCGCGTCCCGCGCCGCCGCGACCACCGCGCTGCGGTTCAAGGAGCCTCAACGCGGCGCGGCGCCGAGCGTCGGAGGGGCTCAGACCGGCGAAGAGAACGATAAGCTGGTGAACATCTGGACGTTTTTGAATTTTGAATGCCAATCCTCTCCGAAGCCTGTGGGAAAAGAATTCAGCCCAACCACCATGTCCAAATGTCCAACCTTTTTGACTTCTGTGGGCGCCTGCCACCCACCGGCTGTACTCCGCGCGCAGTGCAGCCATCTGCTCATGGGCCATGCCCAGCTCAGGGTGCTCTTGAGAGAGGAGACCTGCGAAGGGCAAGGGGCGGGAATTGGGTTCCATGACAGATGCTCAAGGTCTGGGATTGAGTACCTAGAACCCATTTGGACCTCTGTTTTGATAAGAAAAGGCCTGGAGGAAAAACACACCTAAACTTACCAAGTTCTAGGCAGGCGATTGCAAGAGTCATAGCTTAAGTCTTCACCTCATTGCCATGCCTTGGGAAGGCTCAACCTGATCCCCAGGCACCAGCGACCCCAAAATCATCCAAAATGGCTACTCTGTCCCGGATTGTTCGGGCAGGTCCCATGCTCACGTAGTCCCCAGACACCAGGGAGGCTCATGCACAGCAGGGAACATCTTGGGGCATCTTGCGTCAGGAGCGGGGAACCCCACCGAACTCCTTCGTTCCACGAAGTCCGAAGCTTCCATCGCTGTGGCGCCAAGTGACCCAGCTGTTCCTCCCAGCTGGCGAGCGCAAAGAAGCTCAGCTGCAGGTCCTCTGGCAGCCGCACGGCCCCCACTGCTCGCCGCTGCTGCAGCGAGAAGTTCCTCACCAACCCGTGGGCTTGTGGTCGCAGAACGGTGAGAGGGCGAGGGGCTGAGAGGCACGGCGAAGGTCTCCACGAGAAATGGTGGTTCCAAACACCCTCCCATGATCCGATGCCTTGCGCAATTCATGGAGTGGCACAGTTGAGGTCGTTCTTCGCTCACCTCCCAACAGAGGTTGAAGGACCCGAACTAGCTTATCCCAGTTCGGTACCCCAGTAAGGTCCCATAAGGTCACTCAACCTCTCTTGGTCTGGATTCTTCTTGTCAGAAGCTCTTCTGATTGAATCCCAGCAGCTACGCGAAGCAGGGGGGGAAATATTTCATGGAACCCCTCCAGTTCACGGGCGGCCTCTGGTTTTGGGGGCTCGTCGTCTCCACGAGGCAACACCATCATTCAGCCCCGGAAATGCCACGTTGGCCCCCCAGGAGTTCAGGTATTGCTCTTGTAAGATCTGTGCAAGTGATGTAGACTCTTGAGGACCATACACCCCCTCCATTGGAATTGAAACACCTCTTCAGGTCTGGGGGGGGGTATGGTCTTCAAGAGTCTACATTGCTACGTTGGAGGAGCTCTGGTTCGCCTGTGTGGCCTCACCCTGGCCCAAACTCTGCTCTGCCCTGTTCAAGCCTCACACCAAGAGTCCACCAGCGGCGAGCCGCTGCCCAGTACTGATGTCCCACCTGGCGAGGCGAGGGTTCAGGGGGAATGTTCGGTGGATTTCGGTGGTGATCCGAGACCGTCTTTTTCGAAAAGCCGTCTGTGACGGGATTGGTCGGACTTCACATGCAGAAAATTCTTCACACATCTCCTTCATGCAAGAGTTTGTCTCAAATTGGACCTGGATAACCTAGTAGTGACATGCATAACGTATGGCAGGTCCACATGCCTCCGGGGCTCCTGGGTGCACTTACTTTTGTCAAGGTGGCGTCCATGCGACCGCCAGGAACTTTGCTGGAAAGTGGGGTGAGCCAAAAAAGTAAAAGTGAGCTCATGTAGAAGGCCTCCAACAGGTCATCAATATTGAAACCTGTTAGGGCCCTTCCCAACGCTCCATTTCGGAGACCCGTTGGAGGTGCTGGTATACATCACGTGGATCTTATGGCGCCTTCAGTGCGCAAGAAACCTTCAACTTGTGGTGTCCTGACCCACGCACCCCAACCTGGCACAGGAGAGGAAGCCCCAAGATCCGCACGTCCGCGCGCGGATCGATCCGCGCGTCGGCCCGGATCGATCCCCATGCCATGGCCCGGATCGAAGACACGTGGTCGGTCGTTGGGATTCTACGAGGCCCGAGGCACTAAGTAGTTGCTCGCCAGGAGGTTGCAATCCTCATCCAGGGGCGGGCGTCGGGCGGGTTCGATCCGCGGTCAGCTGGTCAGGCGTCCCTGCCAGCTGTCAGCTGTCGGTTGCGGGCGCAAAACTTCGCTCGCTCGCTCGCCCATTGGACCGGCCGACAGTACACTTATGATGCCAGGTTGGGAGGTCCATCTTGTCTGAGAATGGTTGAGACATGTCTCGACACCGGAACATATCGACACTTGCGTCGCGAGTCGCCACCACCCCACCTGCATTTGGGGTCTGATTTCTTACACCGATGAGAGCCGCAGCGTGCTGAAGAGGAGATCCGAACTGCCAAAGAAAACAAAAAGACATCCGGGATTCCAGCAGCCTGTGCTTCAATATAGACTTATATATCAGGTCTTTACCGAAGAAACCATTGTGGCACTAAGGACTTTAGACATCTTCAGGTCAATTCATTTGTTCATGATCCTGGAAGGCTAGGGAACAGCTATTGAAGCACCTGTACACCTGGAGCGCGACTGTGGGCCCCGCCACCGCCCCCATTCCTTGCCAAAACTTTTTGGAGGACTCTCGAGTCTCTCAAGTGAAACAAGTCACGCGCTGAGTGCTTGCACACAAAGCCACCAAGATTTGGAGCCTTGAGCGAGGAACCTCTCTTTAGGATCCTTTAAGTGGAAGTTGCCATCCACATCCTGCAAGCCAACATGCTTGCAAGCGCCGTTGCCAGCGCCAGTAGAAGGCTCCGCAGCACTGCATGAGGAACTGCTGGGGTGAAGATCGCTCCCAGCTGTGTGTAGAGGATGAAGATCACCACCACCCCGATCGCCCCGAGGAAGGACACCGTGAGATTCGAGCATCGGTGCTGCTGGGGACGTCGAAGCTTGTAAGCCGCAAAGAGGCAAAGGAGGTAAACGAGGGGAGCGAAGGCAAAGACTGTGGCCAGCATGTTGATCAGGGCCGCCAGTGAATAGAAGTATTCTGCTGCTCGCAAGCGTGCAACAATCAAATCAAAGAATATCCAGAGTGCGCAGGAGTTCATGCCCATGAACCAGGAGACTGGCAATGCACCCTGTCCTAATCCCATCAAGGTTGAGGAGACTTGATGCCGCACCATGCTTTCGAAGGCTTCCTCGGAACCAAACCATGCGCGTACACATTCCAGAATCGTTTCCCGATCACATGCGATGCGCTTCCCAGACTCCACATGATTCACTCTGCAGCAGTTGGTCTCAGCCTTGGCCACGGCAAACTGAGTGAGCTGCCGGCAGCAAGAGTCCACCCAATGGAAATATGCGCGGAGCCTTGGAAGTGGAGAACGTCGACCCGAAAGTGGAGAAAGTGGTGGGCGCTCAATTTTCTCACACCACGACCACACAAGACCAAGTTCATCAGTTCATCAGTTCACCCAAGGTTAACCGACTTATACCAGGACCCTCCAAGGAGTGTCCAATGGACTACCCCACACTACCTATAGGCTTCCAGACAGGGCCCCCCTTGGAGGGTCCTGGTATGAAATGATAAGGGGGGCGCCCGGCGGATTTCGAACCCAAATCCTACTTCTCTCTAACGACGTGGAGAGGTCACATGAGGTCATTACATCACCATGCAGCCAACGGATTCACCCATCCCAACATCAGTTCAGCAAACACCAAAGAGCGAATGACTTCCCAGCGCTGCAGACATCACGTTCAATGTCATGATGGCCAGATTGATGCGGTGGTCTTCAAAGGTCGCCAAGACCGTACAAATCTGCACGAACAAGAGCAGCACCACACCCAGCATGGCTGCCGGACCCAAGAACGTAGGTCGGATCACCAGGGACCTGCGGAACCTGCGGTGCTCCACCTCATCAAGGGCATCGACTCCATGGCTCTTCATAAAGGCTGCGAGCTCAAAGATGGCCCAGAGTCTCGTTGGGTAAGTGGGATCCCAAAGCACCAGCATGGTGTCGGAATGTTTGAGAATGCCACCAATGCTGCAGATTCCTGCTGCCTTGCGCTCGAGGTCTGTCTGATGGATGCAAATCCGATCGAGGAAAATGCGAGATCTCGCCGGCCGCCACAGCAAGAGCGTCCCAAGCGCCAAAGAAATTCCGAAGATCAAACCCCAGGGGCCAAAGTCATAAGTGGCGCCCTCCAAGGGAAATCTCCGGGGGTAGCTGGGCAAAAGCTGAAAGTAGAAAAGGCTCGTCCCCACCAATGCCCCGAGATGACCAGCCACTATGGCAGCAAGGCCATTGTAAATGATCGTCAGCACCAACACTTTCCGCCATGGTGTTGCATGCCAAGAATGGCTCCAAAAGCAATCGATCCTGGACGTTTGGAAGCTCCGATCATGGAGATCTCCAGCAAAGTCTTTCTGCAAGACTTGGCTCTGCAAGGCAGTGGAAGGACACGTGGCCCGCAAGAGTTCGGGATCTATCACTTCCATCCTGGACATCTCATTGATCAATGTGAAGCCGCTCACCGTGACAAGCTCCTCCGAGCTCCTCTCTTCATCTGCCCGAGGAATCCCGACTTCTGTTGGTGTTGGCATCAGGGCATGGCCACGGTGGACTCCCTTTGGGAAGAACCAGAGTTTGAGATTCTTCCATCGTGGCTGACGGGTAGAGTGCTCCAGCGAGAGCTCATGACTTCATTCTTCAAAAGCTGATGGGTTCCATATGCTAAAACACATCCTTTGGCATAGCGAAGAGTTAGAAACTGAACACTCACCTATAGGAGCTATCCCAACCTCCACGTCGCCTGAGTTCAACCTTTCGCCTACAAGCTATAGCTCAAGAAAGTGGCCAGGGTTGGACATGCAAACCAGCCAAACCCTTCAGGTATGCTTCTTGGTGACCAGAAGCAGAACCACCATTGGACCAGAACCCTGGTTTCTGCCTCCACGTCTATTCTCCGACTCCTGGTGAACAGAAAGGCCAGCTCCCAGTTCAACCACCCAACTCCTCAACAAACACCCCGCCCGCGCCTACGGCGTCCGCCCCTACCCAGCGCCGACCGCAGCCCAGGCGCGGCCTCCACCACGCCCTCCAGCGCGGGGCGCACCAAGAAGTACACTGAGCGATGTGCGGCACAGGCCTCGAAGACCTAAGGGGCCGGGCTCCCGGGGTCCCAGAAGGCTTTCAGGCAGGGGCTGGTGAAGGAGCTGAGAGTGAGGTGGAGAGGCGAGACCTTGCCATTCTGAACATTGGAGGAGGGTGGAACAGGAGTCTTCAGAGTCATAAATTGAATGATAATTCTTCGAATGATGGACCAAAGGTGGATAGATAGGGAGACTCACATGGACAAATCATAGAGAGAGACAGAGAGAGACATGCGTGGGGTGACATAGGGGGTGGAGTGACATAGCGCAAAAAGGGTGGATTGGGGACCTTTGCCCAAAGGATGCGAAGCATTGGCCAGCTTCAATGATACTGATACATGTAGATGGGTGTGGCTGGAATATGCCCTCAACCTACACATAGTTCATTTGCCCAGGTCCTATCACCAGGTTTTGATGGTACGCATCATATGTTGAGTCCTGGGCCGTGTGTCCCAAAAAACCTCCTTCTCGAGCCCCAAACAGCTCCACGAGTGGTTCGGTCGACATGATTGAGATGTTTGGATCTGGAGAGGGCTACCACCATCATCCACCAGCATCGCTTCACAGTTTTGGACCGGCAGAGGCCGGCAGCGCAAGTACACAGCAGCCCAGGCGGACACACTTCAAAGCACTGAGAGAAGCCCAACAGTTTTCGGCATGCATCTATAGACTGTTTGGTGAAAAGCATTTTCCATCATGGGTCTACGGTAGACCACCCACTTCGACCATAGGGCGATGAACACACCGAACTCGCCAACTCACCGGCCTCTGAAGGCTCGAGATCTCCAGCAGCGAAGGAAGCCATCAACGAGGAGCTGGCAAACGGCAGGTCCTGCGACGCGCTCCCGGTCGAGCAGCACGGCCGCCGCCGCCGGCGGTTTGCCCCTAACGATCCGTGGTCGTACCAAACCGACTGGATCCCGGAGGGTGCAATCACCTGCAAATGAGGACGGACTCCGCACCTTCTCCACGTTCGTCGCTGCTGGTGGCACCACGTTGGCTTCCCCGGCCCAGCCGCATCGCTCTCCGCAGCAGCGCACGCCGCTAGCCGGCGCGGCCACGGTGCTGGACGGAGGACCGTCGCAGGGCAGGCCGCAGTGGCAGGGCAGGTCCCAGGGCAGTCCGGTGTAATACCTGGGCCCACGTGCGTGTGCACCCGCGTGCGTGCTTGTGCGCGCGTGCATGCGGGTGAACAAGAAGTGCACATGTAGTGGACGGGCAAAACGCAGAATTCGGCAGGATGCGGGGTGGGGTTGTGGCAGGGGGAATGCGCCTCACGGGCCCTGGAAGAGGGGTAGGAAGCTTGGTGACCTGGACACCTTTTGGATCCTTTTGGGTTGAAGTTGATGACCATGTCTTTCCCGACCAGGTGGATGGATGAACCTGGGTGTAAACCCCAACGAGTTCCGCCTCGCTCCAGCGAGCTGCCCATCTGCAGGACCCGTTCATGGTGGGGAGGGAGTCCAGTCCTGGGTTGGGGGGTCCTGACTGCCAGGGCAAACTGGAGAAAAGGGTGATAAGACCTTGGACCGACGGCTACAGGTTTCTTAGGACAGACCCAACCTTATAGTCGAAATAGGATGAAATAGGGTTCTTCAACCACGATCTGCTGCTCTGGCGGCCACTACTTGCATGTAGGTAGGCCCGATCGGCCTCCAAGTACCTTCTGAGATGGTGCCAGGAGGGTCCAAATACCTTCTGAGGAGGTATGACTGGAGGCGTAGGGAGATAGGGATGCTCCAAATATATTTGCAAAAAGGGTTCCCCTCCTTAGGGGCTTGTCACCTACCCAGCCAACGCCTGAACATGCCCTTTCTGTCTTGCTTCGTTGCAGGCGGAACGAACATGGTCTACATTCTACATGCTGCCCAACACCCCGCGGGTCGCTTAAAAAGGCTCCTCCAGTTCCGCCGGCCCTTGGTCCAAGCTTTTGGTCCCCACCCGAAATCTGGTAAACCCATTCAACACAATCCAAAGAGAGAGGAGGTGAAGGACATGCTCCAGCCATGCTCCAGCCCATGTTCTTGCACCTGACCCCCTAAACCCCACCACGTCCCGACCCTGCAGACCACGTGGACTGCATGCGATCCGCACGGCCATGATGGGAGACGCAGCAGACCAAGGCTTCCACGCCGCAGGCGGATTGCCGCGACGCCGGACGGCAGGCTCCTGGGAGCTGGTCGACGTCACCGGTGGCATGGGCCATCCGCATGGTAGTGCTGGTTGACACGAGGTTGCGTCTGACCCCAATTAGACGGAAACAGCCAATAGACTACGTGTTTAAAAGCCAAAGGAATTGTTTATGGTTCTTCGACATCTACATCTACATAATATCTGCTCCACGCTCATAGTGACCCCCCAAAAAAATCAAAAAGTTTATCCTCTCCTCCAATTGAGACATGCAGAAATCAATTCCGTCTCTTTGAGGGAGGGCTTAACAAATGAGACCCAGTGGCCCAGTGGCCTACAATTTGGGTGTGATTTTATCTTTCCTTTGGCTCAGAAACACCCAGATGGAGCTGCGTGCGCCTCTGTTCTCGAGCCATGTCCACCTCCTACCTCCAAGATCGGCAGTTCCCAACGACAGGATGGACAGACTAGTTCATGAGAGCTCGCTTCGAGAATCATGAATCAAACTTAATCAAACCCTCCAAAAAACAACGGAGCTTTTACAATGTCCCAAGGGGACTCTTTGATGCATTCAACTTCATTCAACACTAGGGCATCGTGCACCGCTCCGTCGCCGCCGCCCCGTCCTCCGAAGTGGCGGGCGTAGGCCTCGTCGCGGCAGGCCATAAAGCGATGGGGCCACTCATGGAAGCTGCACGAGCTCCTGGACCGTGACGTAGGTAGGTGCAGAACATGGCAGAACTGGAGATCCAGTCCCAGCCAGAAAAAGCTCTGCTTGTTGCATGTTGTTCCAATGAGGCAATTGAGATCGTAAATCGTGTACACTAAAAAGTGTTTGTTTCTGGTTGGGACGAGGTTTCCAGGCAGGTATTCCACTTCCATCGGCTTTTCTGTTTCCTTTCCTCACTGTCATCCCTGACCCTCCCGGTTCCCCGTCCTCTGCAACGCCGGGATCCCCGTGCCCAGAGCGAGGCGGTCGCGCAGCGCCAGGATGTCGCCCGAGAAGAGCACCATGTCGCTGCCAGAGCGAACCAAAACCTCCTCAAAGCGGACTTGACGAGGCGGACGTGGCTCGGACGTTTTTGTCGAAAAAGACAACCTCCAGCAGTCACAAGAGGTGCCGGACTTGGAGGATAGGGGTGCCCCTGTCACATCCACTCACTGGATGGGACTGAAAACCATCCCTTTGTGACTCCTGGCTTTTTTCAATCTTGTTCAACCTTCTTGGGCTTGTTCTTGTTTCGTTGGGAAGCCAGGCCCACAGAAAGGTTAAAGGTTATCCACTGACTGAGCTAGTCATGTTCCATCCTCTTTTTGAAGCCTTGAAGAACCACATTGGCAAAGTCAAGTCCAGATGTGTCTTTTGGCGTTGTTTGTTGTCCTGTTGCCTAATCAGGTCTTGTGATTTGGAGCTTCTTTCGACCACCCTGACATATTGGGCTCAATAGAGGGTCGCCCAGGTTTGGGAGGTTTGGGATCGAGGACACTATGCCTGAGAGTCGCCTCATGACTCAGATTTCAGTAGATTCTGACTTCCCAGGTAGGGCCAAACTGAGTCATTGGAAGCTCTGGGAGGCCCACATTCCGCATCCACATTCCGCCCGTCACCAGCCAGCTGGTGGCCACCGGGCACCCCGCCGGCGCCTCGTCTTCGACCCGCTCGTGTGGCCACAAGGCTTGGAAGGACTCCTGTGCTGCCACGCCTGCAGGCACCACATCGGGATGGACATGGTAGAGGCCTCAGACATCAGATCGACCAAGGAATTCCAACATCAGGGAGGCGTGAAGTCGTGCTGTGTTTGCGGGTGTTCTGTCCGAAGGCCACCAAGAGAGACGGAAGGAACCCTTCCACCGTTGAATCAAATGTTCTTCCACCGTTGCGGCACGTTCTTCACTTCACATGGTATAATGATGACGCGTAACCCTTCCCCTGCGGAACCCGGAACATCAGGGAACATGGGAGGGGCCTTAGATACCCCCCCCCCTACAGACCCCCCTACAGACCCCCTAGTTGGTACCCCCCATCAGGGAACCCAAAACTCACTCACTGGGTTCTGCGACTCGTCGGAAACGTCTCGGATCGTCTGACTTTCGAAGGCTCCGTCGTGCACCTGTGCTCTCTTTCTCCGTCTTTCGCACCAAAAATGCACCAAAGGATGGTCAAAAAGGATGGAGATGTTTTTCGGGAATTTGTTTCAGGTTTTTTCCGGGAATTGTGTTCACGTTTTTCCCCTGTTTTTGCCTTTGCTTCTGCTGGGAGTGCTTTACAAGCACTGGGAGCAGCAGAAAGGGCAGGGGGACGAAGCACCAAAGCCAGCGTGACAGTGACAAAGGGAGGGAACAGAAAAGGTATTCCACTTACTAGGGACTTCTTTGCGGTTGTCTTTAGCTTCACTGGTTTTGGGTTTCTTTGGGCTCGGTTTCTTGTCTTTTAGGGTTTCTTTTAGGCGTTCTTCCGGAAAAGGCATCCCACTTAACGAAGGAGAAGTAGGAGTGAGGAAAGAGGAGAGAGGAGTTATAATAGGGAGTTCTCTGCGGCTGTCTTTGGGTTTCAGTGGTTGTGGGTTTCTTTGGGCTAAGCAAAGTAGAAATCCACCTTTGTGGCAGCGTCAACGCAAAGAAACTAGTAGTTGTGGTAACTGTGGTAAGACTCGTAGCGGGGTGGTCCGAGTGATAGAGGTATTGGAAATAGTAGGGGTGGTGGACAGTGGGAACTATTTAAGAAAAACGGGAGGGGGTGCGGGGGAGGGCGCAGCGCCTCCCCCGCAATGCAAATCAAATATAGACAGCGCTGGGCTGCTTCGTTTCTTGATTGGTGTAATTCGGTGTCAAAGCTCAAGGTGAAGGTCTTATCATCCAACTTTGTGGCAGTGTCAATGCAAAGAAGATAGTCAGCAGAAGCAAAAGCAGAAGCAAAAGCAAAGGCAGAAGCAAAAAGCAAAAGCAGAAGGAAAAGCAAAAGCAAAAAGCAAAAGCAGTAGGTTTAAAAAAACAACGGAAAAAAATAGGGGTTCCTGGTCAAAATGGAACGTCACAAGGATGCGCCTTCCAACAACTTGGAGCTGGTACCTTGACCGCTGGCACCTCTTAGTCAAAAAGGGATCTGCTTGGAAGGCCAGCGGGGAATGGCACCTTGAAAAACCATGCTGTGCACACTCCAGTAGTGCATCCACCTAACCGAGGGTGGCCAGAAAAGAAACCCAATCCACACCTCCTGAAGCGCCCCCTGATTTTCGGGACCCCATCTAAGCCCCATCTAATCCCCTTGCAGAGGTTCATGGGAGTGTCCATCCCTTCGGTGAATCGGGCTTTGAGTTTCAGACCTGTCCGTGCATTGCTGCACCCCGTCACGTCCGAAGTCCGAACCCAACAGCCACAGGGGCGGAACATGTAGGCGAAGTAGTCGGGGGTGCAGTTCAGACCCACCGTCTCGTTGAGGCCATAGGCCTTGACAGAGTTGATGCAATCAGCGACCGCACCGGTACAAGGTTCGGAGCCACCACAGGTGACGTTCCACCGTCTATAAATTGCATGTCAATCAACCACGACATGTCAATCTACCACAGACCACGGGGATAACCACAGGTCGCTTTCGTATGGAGCTGGTCTCAGATCCAAGTGTATCAACTCGCACAGCTTGGAATCATTGGACCTCTCCTCACCCCTCCCTTCACTGGCAGTCCAGCGCCTCATAGGCTGGGCAGTTCCGACAATCCAGCGTGCTCGGCAGCACCAGGCGCCGCCCCAAGGCCTTCGCCACCTCCAGCGCCGCCGCCAGCGGCGCCAAGTCCGCCGCCAGCGGCGCGGGCGCGGCCGGAGGAAGCGCGGGCACCGGGTGGTGGTAGCGGAGGAAGCGCGGGGAGGGGCCAAAGCGATCCTGAGGAAGCAAGGAGGTGATGAAGAAAAGTCTTCTTGGGGAGGTGGTGCGACTTTTTAATGTTCGGAAGTCTGCATGTGCTCTTGTTTTGGAAAGGCTGTTGATATCGTCGGTTCTTCACCCCCGGCGTTCTAAAGCAAAGCCTGCCAACCTTCAGCACCGTGGTGCAAAACCTTCATGTCAACCCTCGACGTCCCTCCTCATCTTCGATTGAGGTGAAGCTCTTGGAATTCAGATCCGCCACTTTCGTTTGTTTCCCGAATCCTCAGGATCTTTGGCCCCTGGTGGAAGTCCCGTCTGACCCATCTGACCCGCTAGCCGCTAGCTAGCCGCTAGCAGCTGCCCAGGCGCCGGCAGATCATCCACATACCTGGGCAGCAAGAAGTGAAACATCTTCAGAAATGAAGACCGCAGTCGATCGCCGTCGGCCACGTCAACATGGCCATTGTAACTGGCCTCTTAAACGTGGTCTAGACAAGCTGTTCATCGAGGCACCCACCATGCGCATCCATGCGGAAGAAGTACTCATGTTCCTCTTCCCTGCTGGAATGTTTGCCGTGTTCTAGAGATTTGGGAACAATGATGCTGCAGGGAACTGACTGCGACCAGTTCCCATGGTCTCTCACCAGCAACCCCCAGGGGCAACCCTCACCTGCCCCGGTCAGGCCACATGTTGTTGTGGAGTACTCGATGACTATGTCAAATGATGTCAAATATTGTCAAATAAATGTCAGAGCATGTCAAGCATCTTTGCTACCCTGCCTACAGTTCCCTCCCACTCCCTCAACCAAAGATCGAGCAAAGGCTAAACGAAACTCTCTCAGTTTCCTCCTACCCCTCTCTCTTCACAAGGGGAATGTCCATCACATTTATCACCACCCAAGCTGCCCTAAGCTCCTACACTTTGTGCCAACCAACCTCGCCACCAAGCTTGCTGATTCCTTGCGCATCCAAGCAGCCATACCTGTCGATCCTCCATATAGTAGCTCTTCGGCCCGACACCATTCGCATGCGCTGCAGCGGGTCTTGCAAGACCGTGTTGGAGGTGCGCCCGGCGCCAAAAGAAGTTCACTCCATTGGCGAAGACCTCAGGTGCGCAGCTCTGAGCGTAGCTCTTCCGTACTTTTCGGAAGATGCCACAAGCCTTTCATGATGATGGGGCCTGGTTGCAGGCCTTGTTCAAGAATGGTGATTTGCTTGCTTGATGACTGTTACAGATTTCTTAGGGCAGACCCATGGCTTCTGTAACATGTTCCCCAGTCTTGCGGAATTGGGGCGTGTATGTTCCAAACAACCAAGAACCTATCACACCTGGAACTCGTTAGCGGAAATTTAAGCTGCGCCGCAGCCAACCCCAGAACAAGCCGTGGCCCACCTCCAGCACGTTGATGTTCCAAGTTTCCGATCAGTGTAGAACAGTTGAGGTCCAGTATGTTCCCAGTCGAGTCATCGGCAAATTGAACAACTTCTCCAGCCGCCAACACCCGCCCAAAAAAGATTCCCCGATGTCTCAACAGCTTCGGTCGCACGGCTTCCACCGACCCTTCTCCACTTGCACGGACGGATGGGAGGCGCCTTGACCGGATCCAGGACGCGGATCCTCAGCGCGCCCTGACCGCCCTGGCCGCGCGTTTGGCCGCCTGGTGACCGCCCCGTGCGGTGTGGAGAGGCGGTGTCAAGGAGTGAGCTCCGGACCGCTGGTGCTGGGGTTGGAGGCGAAAACGATCCAACGCCTCGGGGGCCTCAAACTTGGTCCGAACACGGAGTGGCGTTGGTTGGGGCCTGACTTTCAGGAAGAGGTGGGTTCCTTTGGAGAGTGGGCTCCATCCTTTTCTCTAGGCATTGTCCGGCCCAAATGTCAAGGGTGAGCAAAGATGGATGTTCCAACAAGGCTACCACCTCGCTGGTTTTCGATGTGGCACTTTTTTCAGTCGAATCACTTCAATTCACATGAGAAACATGGGGCCCCTGTGCCATCCCCTTGCCCCTCCGCAGGCTCTTGACTCAATAGTGCGATGGGCCAATAGGCTCAAAAGATCTCAAAAGAACAGGAAGACCCACGCATCTAGCCCTGGCCGAGCCTAGGCTGGTAGAAGCTTCGAGCTCATGGTCCAAGTAGAAGCCACGGATGCAGGGCGCACACTCGCTGGCCTTCCTTCGCACAAACCTCAGGTGTAGCGGCCGCTCGCTGCGACGCCGCCGAGGTGGAGGTCCCGGCCCAAGCGGAGGCCGGGTCTGGGCCACGTTTCGCACGACGCCCTCTGGAACTACCAATCCTTAAGAGCATCCCATCAGGAATCTTCGGGAATACCTCAAGTGCATCCGCCAAACCCCAAAAACACCAAATGATCAGCCATCCCATCAGGAAAGACACATCACATCCATTCACATCCTTTTTTTTAACAAAAATGTATCTCTGAACATCGATCGCCTCCGAGAGAAATACCTCAGTCCACCAGAAAATGTCTCGAGGTGGTGGCGTTTTGAGAAACCTCCAGCAGCTAGGTAGGGGACTAGCTCGAGCTCTAGGGGCTATAGGGGCTAGGTGGTGACTTGTAGCTCCAGCTTTTTTTCTGGGTGGAGATGTAGCTATTCCGTTTCAGGGACCTCGATTAAGACACGGCTCTCGCTTCGATCACTCTCTGCCCGCTTCGGCTCTAGCGGCTTGTTGAAGACTCGCTGGTCGAAGGGATCTCGAAGCAGGCGCCCCGGGAGCACTGCATGGTGGTTCTCCTGCAGCCGGGGACCAAACCACCGACTGGAGATCTTGGAGTGTGTTCCATCATGTTCCACATCCATGGAACAGGAGTACATCTCCAAGCAACTTCCCACAGGACATCCCGCATGAAACCAAGCCCAAACGGGCCAACCTCCCGATCCCCGTAGGGGAGGGGGGGGGGAAGTGGAAACCACCCGATCCCGGTCGTCCAAACATGTGGTTTTTCGGCGATGGCATGATTCTCTTTGTCCTTTCTTCAGACTCAATCGGTGCGAGTGAAAGCCGCGTTCAGGTCTGCTGCCTGCTTCTCACTGGTCTGGCTGGTGGTTGCAACATGGTGCAACTCACGGGCAAAATCCGGAGTCGGTGGGATCAATCATCCCAGGAGTTGACCTGCGTATGTAAAGAGGCCAAAACCACCACGCAGTGGTGCAGAAGCCGAAAAACCAGTGAACACCCCTGGACCCAACGATCTGAGCAAGCCATGACCTGCAGAGGGACGCCCCAAGCAGTCTGACATGTATCTGTATAATGTTGATATGAATTCCTTCGGCTGCTAACGAGACAACTGGCATACAACCAAAAACAGGGACACGACGTCAGGTCGCGCCCACCGTCCCCTTCCCGACATCCGAGCGAAAAAAACGAAAAAACGTCCGGATGCGAGCTGAAAAACCACCACCCCCACCTGGAGGAATTGTTCCAGAAGCTGCTCAGCTCCCCCCTTTGGCCGCGCGTAGATGAAGCCGGTGCTTAGATCGTCCTGGCGCGGCGAGCTCAGCTCAAAGGAGGCGACCCAAAGGCACACTCAGCCAGACGCAGAGACGAAGAGACGTCGGGTGAATCTCGGAAAGTGCTTCTGGGTGCCTAACACAGAAATCGGGATGACATTGGGGATGAATACGGCGGGCTAATATAAGTCATGGGCGGCCTCCAGCCGGGACACGTACCTTCATCAGGATGGTCCCGGTAACCTTCGAATCTCTTGGGCTGCAAAAGGTCCTTTTCAGGCTCCAGGAGGTGCCTGTTCCAGCTCGCACGAGCCCCGCCACCCGGCCTTCTATCGGCCAAAGCGACGGACACCGGCCAACCCAAAAAAGGGACACTGGCCTCAGGTCTCACCCAAGGCTTCCAGAGGTACTGGTGTACCTGATCCAGATGCTCCGTGGCGATCTCCAAGTCCGCATCGAAGCCCAAGAGGGGAAAGGGGTCCTAGACCGGACCAAGTGCTTGGACTCCATGGTCTGCCACCCCGGAAGGCATGCGCGAGGCATGCCTTTGGTTCTTCCCTTTTCGTTGTTCTGCCGAATTTCTTCGATATGGCCGTAGAGGTGTTGAGGTTCGGTGCCACGGTCGACTTGAAACAGTGGAGCTCTTGCTGAGAAAAGGACGTCCAGGGTCTTGGAGGAAAGGAACACATTGCAATCTACTGGTCTTACACTCCCAAAAACTAACATAGACCCTGACAATGGTCGCATGGAAGACTATTTTCCTCTACCAACCAGGGGGTTCAGGTTCCATGTTAGTCTTCCAGGGTGTAATCATGTTTTTCCAAGGGTCCAAGTTCATCCTGCTAAGGGAACTCATTGCGAAGCGAGTCTCGCAGTCGTTTGGCATGACCAAAGAAAAACCTCCGGCAACAGTCGTCAGACAACGCGCTCCTGGAAGAACACGACATCACTGTCGCACACCGCCAGGGACAGATTCTGCCTGGGAAGAAGAATGATTTCTTCGACGAAAGGGCGGGAAGGTCTCCTTTGAGGATTGCGGTCAAGCTATGCGAGCTATGCTTCGATGTGTCCTGAGGCCGTAAACCCTTCTCAAAGACTGAAATCTGCAGGAGATGCTTTTCTACCCAGGTGTCGAGTGACACATGGATGTCAACGAGTCAGCTGTATGAGTCTTGCAAGTTGTCGTATTGCAATCATTGAAGCAACCAACACTTCCAAATAGACTAAGAACATCCCCTGACAAACCAATCATGTCATGTACGATTCACATGTTGGCCAAAATCATGCAGGTTTTATGCGTTTGGTGAGAAATGTTGCTATTCACATACTCGGTGCTAAAGAATGTAAATGGAACATTGTCGACTGGGAAGGATGCATTCGAACCAACTCGAACCACCATGGTGCACCCTTTGGCAGGCATGAACATGCGTCGTCCATGCCCAGTTGAACATCAAAGCGCGAGACAATCGCCCGAAATTGCGTGAAGGTGTGTAAATACGACAGCCGCGCGGCATGCAAGTACGTGAAATTGCATGAAATTGGTTCTTATCGATCCTTGCACAAGCGGGATTTGTTTGATCAAAGCCAACTTGGGTTGAACAAGCGGGGCCTGACCCGAGAAATCTGTCCGACCATTGAATCGAGCTGTCGCTTTGAGTGGTGGTGCCGCCTTCTTTGGCGGTTTGGTACACTCTTCGCGCTAGAATCTGTAAGTACCAGCAGTCACAAGACGGGGTGCGATCCATGGAGGTTAGGGGTGCCCAGAACATCCACTCACTTATCCCTAAACACCACCCCTTTGTGACTGCTGGTAGAAGTAACTAGCACGTGTTTGGATTCATAGGGATCTCAAAAAAAAGGCACTGATCTCCGGCTGCCGCAACTGTGGCCGAGTGGCTGGAGACCAACGAGCAGCACTTGCCATCGGAATTTCCAAATGAGGTCGTCCACTTCCAGAGTCGACCTCATCCGAGCGCGAGAGAGGCGGATGCGGAGGCCGAGGCCGTCAAGTCAAGTCGTTTGGGGTCGAGTCAAGTCAAGCAAAGAAGCGTTGGATGAAGGTGGACCGCTGTTGCTCTGGTGCTCTTTGACGCTTTTCATCTCCTTTTGATCCATGCGAAACCAGCTCTAGAAACTAGGGCAAACCCCACGTCATGACACGTCCAAAGGAGTCCAAAGGCGTCCCCCTACGTTCAATGGATCCATGGGACTCGAAAGGCCGAGACGAAGCCTGGATTGAGTGGTGTAGCTTCTCTCGAGATCCCAACCGCCACATGCAAACCATCAGGAAAAAGATGGCGACGGGACGTGGTTTCCCTCAGGTCCCCAAATAGATGTGGGCATGTGTGTCCCATACATTCTGAACGTGGGGATCTACGAACTTCTATCGAAAATCACTTGGGTTCTATATAGACCATATAGTGGGGGTCTACTTAGTGGGGGTCTACTTCGTGGGGCTCTACTTAGTGCAGGTCTTTTGCACCATGCAGGTCGGCACCGCGATCGGGTGGCTCCGGAGCGGGCTCCGTGGAGCACCAGTCCGACCCCAAAAATGGCTGCCAACCAGAGGTGAATCCGAGTCGACCACCTCGAAGGACCCGCCAAAACCCGGGGAGAATCAACTGGGATAGTCGAACTCGGGTACATCTTCAACCTCTGTTGGAAAAGGCCTGTGAAAAAGGTGCCATGATGACCAACAGTTGCTCAGTTTGCTGCGGAGCCTCGGCGGGGGGCACAAAAAGCGCAACGAACGAACGAACGAACAAACCAACCAGGCACCGAAATCGGGCGTCCCGGCTGATGGAGCACCACGTGGAAGCCGAAGGGCTGCAACCTGGTGGAACGCCAACGGTCTGCGCTCGAGGCTCCCTCCCTCCGCGCGAGGTGTGGCCGCACGTGACACCGTGCGTTCCCGCGGGTCACGCGAACGGGCCACGGAAGTGAACTACGATGAGCTCCTTCACTTCGTCCTGTGGGGGTGGGGGAAATTGTGCCTCAACAAGTGGGTCAAGAATCTTCTAACAGAAGGGATGTGCACAGAGATGCATCTGGCAGATGCTCTCCAACTTGTATTAGTTGAGGTGCAGCAAAATCCACACAGTTTCCCCAACTTGAACGATTAAACGGTCCATGGGTTGGTGCATTGAGTGGCCTCCAAAGTGTCAGAGCTCACCCGCCAGAAGTGCCAGGAGGTCCCTACTTGCCTTTGGACAAATTGAGCATTAAGGCTTTAAGAGTAGCGTCTTCCGACCCTGCATTCTTAGCCGACAAAAAGATCAGCTCACAAGCATAGATCGAGAATATAGAATATGAATGAAAGTGGAACTGGCTGGGAGGCTTCTTTGTGTCCGTATCTGACCCTATCTGGCCGAAACATGAGAAAGGAGTTGGCTTTAAACTCCAACCCATGAGATCTTGAAGCAGACTGCCGAAACGGGACTGCTGAAAGGGCTGGGCTGGCTTTGTCGGGATCAAGGGGATTCCCTTCCCATCAAGTTCCCCGACCAACGGACCCAGAAAACCCACAACCCCCGCAGATATGAACAGGAGTCCATCCCCGCAACCCTTTGTCAACCCCCGGAGAACGGAGTTCTTGTTCTTGCTCAAGGTGATGGAACACCCAACAACCCGGTGGGCAGAAGCCCGTTTCTTGCGGATTGGCGACGATCTAAACATTCAGGGGCCGTTCTTCGTGAAAGCACGGTAAAAGGCAGTCTTGGATTTGGCACCAACCAACCACATGGAAAAAAGACCTGGAAAGCCTTCCGCTTCTTCAGTGGGCCCATGTTTCCCCCGCTTTGCCTCATCCACACCGCTGAGGAACTCCTGTTGCGCCTGCTCGTCCAGCGCGACCAGCACCAAGCGAGCTTCCAGTTGCGGAACATGCCGTCGCACCGAGAGCGCCAGGTTCAGCGCCTGGCACGCGCTGGATGCCGCTGGATGCTGGAGACGAGAGGCATAGAACGGAAATGAACGAGAGGTTTTTGGAGCCCAGGCAGGCCACCCATTTTCAATATTTGTCTCCATAGGCAAACCACATTTTGGGTGAGTATTGACGATTAAAAAAAGGTCACTCAGGTCTTACAGTAGGCAAATAATTCGATCGTAGACTCGACCAATGCAACAAGAGTCCCGCCAAATGTCGTGATCATGCCTCCTGTGGGGGAAGTGTCGCTCAACTGACTCGCCAGCCAGCCAGCCAGCCGAGGCTTGGCCTGGGCCTTCTGAAACCGTTCGGGTGAAAGGAGCGGGTAATGCAAAAGGAGCCTCTGGTATGCATTATATGCGCCCTAATTCCCTAATCATTACAATTAGGCGAGTGGTGCATACATCATTTAAAGCTTGCATGGTGGCTAGCTGAATGGTTCTAGGATACAAGATCCACACATCTAAAGAGTTGGCCCCGGGGTTCACGGACACAATCCACCAGGTCACCAACTCCCTGTTTGATTGTTTCTCCTCAAACTTCAGATGTGCCAAACTCAAGCCCTTCAGGGCAATCCAACATCCATGAGAAGCACCCCCCCACCTCCACCGACCTCGGACAACGGCGCCTGCCGCGCGAACACAGCTCCTCCGGTGCTCCAGGTCACCAGCAGCGGACCGTCCCCACTGGCGCGCGCGAGCTGGGCGCCCAGAGGGGCCAAGTCCTGCCGAGGGCGGTGAGAATCGGCTTCGGTGCCCGGACAGATGGGGCGCCACGAGCATCGGCGGTTTGGGGATGGTGACTGCTCTCAAAGAGTCTTCTGTGCTCACGGTGATTGCTCTCCCTCGCTGGGGGGGAGAACATCTGCGCCAGCATCGGTGACTCACATGAATCAACAATCAACCGAACGCGCGCATGTGTTGTGAGTATCACCAAAGACTTGGGTGCGTCCCACCGTTCACTAGATGATGATGCGTGTCTTGCGTCTTGGCATGTTCGAAAGGCCCTTTTCCCCTAAGCTAAGATGCTGCCGGTGGACTAGCCCACGGCGGGTACACCCAAGAAAGGCCATGGTGGCCAGGACCTTCGACGGTGCCGCTCACCTGCAGCTTCTCACTGGTCGCTCGTCAAGTGTGCACACGGGTCGCTTCAGCTTCTGCAAAGCACCTTTGGCATGAGTCTACTGAAACATTATGTACAGCCAGGTTCTGCCGAAAGAGTCTCACAGCCTCCGCGTAGACCAAACCGTCGATCTCATCCTGGTAGCCTTGCAGGATGGAGGTATCATATAATCCATCTGCATCCTTCGCATGCTGCCCCGGGCGCGCGTTGTGAAACTCCGAGCTGTGGCAAGGCCCTCCGAACATCGCGTGGAACAAACAAATGGACAAGTCCCACTCCTCAGGGGCAACAAAAGCAAACTGCAAAACTCGTCAGATAGTGGTCGTGGCAAACTTTGAGAAGAACAAAAGAGTGTCGGTATGTCTGCATGTATGCCTGTCCGTCCGTCCGTCTGTCCGTCCGTCCGTCCGTGCGTCCGTCCGTGCATGCGTGCAGTGAAGTGTAGTGTACATCAGGTGTGAAATTACAAGTTCGTGCAAAGCACTGTAATGTAATGCGGATATGCATGTAGCTTTTCACATCAAAAGGTTAACCTTTTTGTGCAAAATTAGTCTATAAACCATACTTCATGTAAACACCCCATAATGTGAAATCAACCAGTGACTCGGGCAGCTGGAAGTGAGATCTTGGTAAGTTCGCCCCTATCAAATGATGGTCGTTTCTCCATCTCTTCTTCTTTCGTGTGATGTGCGTCGCACCTCAGTCAGCCCCACGAAGGCAAAGCCTTCCCTCAGCCTCTGGACCGCTTGATGCCCCAAAGCTAGATCGCGTGGAGGCTGGTGCCTGGACCGCCGAGCTGCGAGCCGCGCTTGGAACGTCGGGGCCTAAACGCCATTGGAAGGCCACTTGTGTCGGACCAGGAATTTGGGGAGTCCCTTCTTCAACATGAGCAATTTGGTCATCCAAGAATTGCTGCACTTGAGTTTCAACAAATCCTGCCGCTTTGTTCTTGGTCCTGCCACTCGAAAAAACCGGAACCCTGAAGGCTTTGATGTTCAGGGATGTTGCAGGATTGGAAGCTATGCAACTGGTGCGATGGGAGCGAGGTGCCGCACCTGGGGGGCGACAATGGCTCCAGGCTGCACATGTTTGGATGGAGAGTGAGTAGATGGAGCCCCCCATCTACAAGATGACAAGGGCAAACCAAATGACATCCTGGGGTTTGTGCCATGCTCGCACGCACTTCATTGGAGTAAGCTTAACGTCCTTACAGAGCTGGGCGCCAGGGATCCGACGTTGCTTTGGGTCAGCTCGTGCTGAGCAGCTCAGACCCGTGTCTTCTCCTTTCCGCCCGACAACCGGCACTTTCCGCTGCGAATTTTGGGCATGGTGTCCTACCAGCAACCCCGAAGGGGTGGTTGATGTACACCCCTTAACCTCTTTTCGGGGCTATAAAATGCTATAAATGGAAGCCCCTAGGGTGTCATTCTATGTCTTAAGTCTCAAGGCGGGTTTGTTCGAGTTCAGCAAAGGTTTCGCAACACAAACATGCGATCTCTGACACAGCCACTATGCGTAGGTCGTTGTGTTGCTAGTAATTGTAGTCAACTGCGGTCAACTGCATCCTCAAGACCAACATGTCCCAATGTTCACTTCTCCTAGGGCCACATGCTGCATAGATTTTTATCATCCTGCAGTCACAAAGGGGTGCTTAATGGAGGTTAGGGGTGCCCATTATCCACTCACTTAAGGACTAAAAACCACCCCTTTGTGACTCCTGGATGAAAGGCTCGTACTTGAGTTAGGAGCTCATTTGCAGACGAAATGCTCTGTCCGTCTCTCCCCCCCCCCTCCTCCCTCCTTCCAATCGGTCCGCAGCTCCCCCGTCCCCGTCCGCCGCGGCACACGAAGGGTATAATGTCATGTGGGGAGGCGATCTGCGCAGCCATCGTGCCCTTGAAGGCCTCCAGGAGGTCTTGCAAAGGATATCCTGTCGGAACCGATCCGTCTTCGTCCGGATCCGTTCGGGTCAGGCGGCTGAGGCGCAGCGATGGCAGAACACCGTTCGGCCGTGAACTGGCGTGAAAGAGGCGAAGAAGACCCAAAACCGTTCGATGCTTCATCCACATCCCCCTTGACTGGGAATATCCGGCCAGAACTCCATGTGAAAAAGAGAATGCCGGCTATGAAATACACCATGGACCATAGAGAATCAATCATGGGGGATCCCAACACATTGTCACATCTGAAAAGAATTTCGATCAGATTTCAGACACCCAGTTGATCGTTGTGCCAAATCGTCATGACTTGGAAAAGGCAGCCAATAGCCGCTACTTGCTACCTGCCAAGTCACCCTTGAACCTCACATCTTTGGGACACATGGCTCCAAGAGAATCGTGGCATCGAGCTTCCCCAGTTTCTGGGTCGAGGAAGACTGGCCCTGTCATCGTGCGAGGTGCTGTTCTCCGGTCGTCTATCTTGGTCCATGACCCTGGTGACCCCCGCCGATCACACCAGAACTTTCCAGAATCCAAGCATCCAGTGTAGGAGAGATTGCAGCGAAACAGAAACTTACCTGAGCAAAGATTTGATTCGACGGAGCACGGCCTCCTGGCCTACCTCCGTTTCGAAGGTTGGGGTTGGGTGACAGGGGGGTCTGTGCCTACCGAACCTGAGGAGATGGAACCCAAAACCCAGCCAGTTGCTATCCTTTTCACTCTCCTCCAGTCCCCTCAGGGATTCGCAGATCAATTCGATGTGCGGTCCAACCGTGCCACAACCACAACGTGGTCCTTGGTCGCCCTACCGCGTACGGAAAAAGGATGACATATGATGACATGGTGTGCCAGAAGGATGTCGAAAACAATCGGCCCAAAGAAAAACGACCTCTATCTCGAACTCCCTGCTTCCAGGAAGCTGGAATCTGGATTCGAGAAATCCTCCAGCCAACCATGTCCATCGTAGTAGGCGCTCAGCACACGTTGTTCGGGTTGACGGAAGAATCCCACCAATTTGCCCTTCCTCCTCGCATACTCCGTGGCGTTGCCCACCGGCGAATGCATAGCGGAGGGATGTTCGTAGCACTCCAAGAAGTTCCTCGGACTTAGCCAAAAGGGCCCGGACAATAGTGAAAGCATCATAAAGCCCTCAGGAGTCACGCATTATGTAGCTCTACTAGACTCTTGATTCATACCCCCACCACATTTGGATTGAAACACCTCTTCACGTGGAGGGTTTCAATCAAGAGTCTACATGAGCGAAAGACATGGAAAAATAGAAAATCCACTCTCAGCACTCGTTCAGAAGATCGGATTGCAGAAGGACTGGCACATCGCGAAGACGGGGTTGAAGCATTCGTGTGGCGCCAACAGCGACAGATCAAAGTTTTCACCCGCCGACGGGCAAAAGTGGTGCATGTTGATCAGCGTGTTCACAAAGGTGGTGCCACATTTCGGGATATGCAGCCAGAACATGGGAAGAGCTGCCTGAAGTCTCCTGTCTGTCTCATCCTCCTCCAGGACTCTGAGGTGCCGCTGCAGGAGCTCGACGCTCCCGTCCACACACTCCTCCACAGAACTCGCCCAAGTCGAATGCCAAAGGCACAGGAACAGGAGGCCATGTCGCCTTGCCGGCGTCGCGAGAAACCCCATCGCTGGGCCAGGTCTGGCCCTCCGCCAGTGAAAGATTCACCGCGGCACCGGGGGCGACGCAGTCAAAGGCGAGGGGGTTCGCCTCGCGTCATTTGCGGTTCGGTAAGAGCTGAAGGAGCCCAAATGGCGCCATTCGACGAGTCCTGGACTGTCTGTCTCTCTGTCTGTCTGTCTGTCTGTCTGTCTGTCTGTCTGTCTGCCTGTCTGCCTGTCTGCCTGCCTGCCTGCCTGCCTGCCTGCCTGCCTGCCTGCCTGCCTGTCTCTCTCTCTCTCTCTCTCTGTCTCTCTGTCAGGCATGACTCCTTGCCAAGACAGATTCCTACTTCAGGTTACCCAAGCATCCGAGTCGATAAGACACCTGCAACCGCCTGCAACCGCAAGCTGCCGTCGATTTCCAGGACCTTTCCCAAAACATCACCATTCAAAAACATGTCCGGTCCTATGGCCTGAACCGATTGAGTTTGGTCCTTCACCCCAACACCATGAACACCATGAACACCGAGACGCTCCCGCGGTTCCACACCGCGCGCGCGCGCGTGCGCCTGCCACTCCGCGCGAGGACGAGGCACTCGTCGCGCCGAGTGCCACTCGTCCGCGTGACGCGGTCTCATCGGAGTCGGCGCCAGGCCCAGTGCCTCGGGGCGAATTGGGGACGCAACGTCGGTGATGGGGAGGTTCTTGGGGGCCCGCCATTCGGTCAAACCTGGCCAGCACGTGTTTTGGGCGGTTTTGGGACTCGAAAACCATCGGCGGTTACCGTATACCATGTAGGTAAGATTGGCATGAAGCCAGCAGCCAGTTGATTGATGATGGTGTTGATCCGAATCCGATGTCGTCAATTGTGTAACAACTTTGGTGGGCAGAGCAGCCGCAGCAGCGGCGATCTCTGCGCCACGCTCGGAAGAAGCTGGCAGCTGGACGGTGATTCCATTTGGCACGCTGTTCTTTCAAGCTCGCCAGCCTCAAAACCTCTGAGTCCTAAGCCCCTTCATCGTCCTCTTGGCTCCTTTGAGTTCGTGGAACCGAGCACGGAGAAACGGCGAAGGGACCGGTACAAAACACCAGCCGTGAAGCCTCGACCGGTCCCTCTGAGGGAAGTGGTCCTCTGGGTTCCTCGCACTGCCCAGCACCACCCAGCACTCCATCGCACCACACCCTCGCTTCGCCTCGTAGCGCTTCTGCGCCCACGACATCAGCAAGTCCCTCGCCGTGGCGTTCGCCGCCCGGCACATCCTACGTCTCCGCCGGGCGGGACGCGGAGGACCATGGGCAGTCGGATGGGAGGAGCGTTTCAGATGGGAGTCGGGGGGGCCGACGCGAGCGGGCCCGGAAGCTTCAGAAGGTCGACCTGACCGGGACCTCGGGATGTGCCAACCGAACAAACCCAGACCGAGACCTGGCAGATTCTGAAGGACCGAGACCTGCAAAAGCTCCGGTCTAGGAGTCCAAAATGGCTTCACGTGCAACGTCCTCTGGAGCCGATCATGAACTGGACCAGTCAGCTGGACGGCTGCCTGATGGGCACCTCCGATGCACGGTGCTGGCGCCAGGCGCTTTCGGGAGTGGTGCTAAGCGTATCGCTCGCCCGTATCTCACAGTAAGTTATGTCCAAGTGAACCCAACAAGAACCAGCAGAGGTTGAAGAAGCCTATGTTTGACTATCCTTCTTTGGTACCCCAGGTGACGCGTCCTATTTTCAGGTCACCTAACCTCTGTTGGAAAACTGGCGTCCCTACATGGCAGACATAAGGCGTCGACGAAGCGACGGAAATGAGAATCCAAACTTTCCCACACCTCACGGTGGTCGATCCGATGTCGCAAAAAAGTGGGAGCATTCATGTAGACCTTCTTGATTTAAAAACACATACCAGGGATCACAAAGGGGTGGTCCGGGGTGGTGTTTGGTCCCTAAGTCCCCTAAGTGAGTGGATAATGGGCACCCCTATCCTCCAATAGGCACCCCTTTGTGACTCCTGGTATGAAGAGATATCCATTGGAGAGAACATATTGACTCCAATCAACCGTCTACATGAGGGTGGTCCTGGATTTTTTCCTGATTGTTCCTCGACGTTTACGTTTAAGCCTTAAGTAACCACTCTGATGATGTGGAAGTCGATCCCATCATACACGTACTGGCTGCCCCACCTGCGCTGCTGGCCACCAACACCACAGCTGCCAGGTCCGCCAGCCGCATGCCATGAGCCAGTGTGGCTGATAGGACGTCTAGAAGCTTCGGCGGACTGAGCCGTACTCTCAAGAAACCATAAGAAACCCACTTGGGTCAGTTTAGGGGCAAATGAGAAGCTTGAACTGTTCTTGCTTGATTGATGGATTCCTATTCTTCATATTTATATGTAGCGCATGTGCTGCCTGTAGGACGGTTCCAGGACCTCGCATTTGAACTCAGGCGGTTTGGCTTCGGGCTTCTCCCCACCAGGCGACCACACGTGGATGGCATGGTTTGAATATTGGTTGGTCTGTCGGATGACCATGTTGCATAAACCACCATGATTTTTCCAGCCGGATGTGGCAAGAAGGGCTGAAGCAGGGTGTCCATGACGGCTTGTCCATGAAGCAGGGCGTTTCCTGCCATGGCCACTTGCCGTGCCACCGGCTGAGCTAAGAAGAAACATCCGTTTATGGTTCTCATATGTTCTCACCAGGTATTTGCCCGAGGTGGAGGCTTTCAAATCCAACATGCACGCACTCTGCGCAGCATCATCAGCGTTCGCAGGCCAAGAGCCTCGCTCGGCCGCTCTAGTTCACCTCACAACTGCAGGGATTGAGTGGGCTCCGCGCACCCCACATCACCTGAGAACCAGTCCCACTCTGAAGGCTAATGGATCCCGAAACTTGAATCACAGAAACTGATCACACTCCACAGCTAGAAGAGGCAGCAGTGTTTACACTGCGTGTTAAGTTTCAACCCTCCTAAGCCATAACCCTTCAAACCGGGTATAACGGTATACCTCCCTCCAAAAAAAAGAAGGATTCCTCCTTCAACACCTCAGCGACCTCCCCGGAGTCTACCGGAAATCCCTCCCTTCACCGGCCTTGGAGCTCTCCTTCTTGCTTTCGGTTCGCCTCACCTCCTTAGGGCGCCCGCCGCGTCCAGCGCCACGCGTCCAGCGCGCTTCGGCGCGGTTCGGCGTCCACGGCTCGTTCGTTCGCGGTTCGGTTCGTTCGCCCGTCGGTTCGGCGGCTCGTTCGTGAAGGAGTCGCCGTCGTCCTTCGGCGAGTCGAAGGAGCTTCGGACGGTCGGACGGCAGAGTCGAAGACCGCCGAACGGGGAAGAGGCATTTTCAGCAGTCACAGGTCGCTCGGGGTGCTCTCCATGGAGGTAGTTGGGGTGCCCCTGTCACATCCACTCACTGGATGGGACGAGCCCCACCACCCCGAGCTCTGTGACTCCTGGAGGAATTTCCTTTACTTCAATCGGTCCAGTCCCAAGCCGGGCCAGTTCCGCCTTCCAAACCTATGCGTATACGGAGCCTCCCAGCAATGCCATGGCCAGCAGCTTGGAAAACATTCCAAAGGTGCTTTGGATAGATTCAAGGGCTGTGGTGTGGCTTGGTGTGAGGAAAGCAGGCGGCACTTCCAGGGATAAGCGATCTATGGTCCCTCGGCTGCACCGTCGAGAGCGTCGACCCTCTCGCCCTCCCCGTCCACTACCCCACGAACCTGTTGCAAGGAAAGGCGGTAATATCACTGTATCGCCTTGAAGGCCTCAAGGGGAATCTTCCCCACATCTTCCAAAACTAGCCCAACAACTCTGCTTCTGGCCTGTCGCCTCGTCCAGACCACGTCGGCTCCTCGGGGGCCGCGAAAAGGGGCGCCCCACTGGGGCGCCGGGCCACTGGCCTCACCACTTGAGCGCCCGAGTCCTGTTCAAGCTTCACCTCGGACGACGCACGGGCTCTGCTCGCGCGCGGTGAGCCGCGCGGTGAGGTGCCGAGCGGACCGCTCGGAGGGGCAGTGGCTGTGCAAAAGGAAGGGGAATAGTTTTTTTCTTTATGCTAACGGTTCTTTTTTTTATGCTGGACTTGGGTGGGTTCTTTTTTTTATGCTAACGGTCTTTATTTTTATGCTGAGGGTTTTTATTTTTATGCTGCGGGTTTTTATTTTTATGCTAACGAATGTAATTGTCGCGGGGCTTTATTGGAAAATGTAATTGTCGCGGGGCTTTAGTGGAGAATGTAATTGTCGCGGGGCTTAGTGAAGAATGTAATTGTCGCGGGGCTTTATTGGAAGGGCGGCGGCTCATCTGCGCACACACATTTTGTTAGCATTTGACTCATGCGCGCACACAGTCCATCGGGGAGACTCAGGCCCTTTCCCGCATGTTTGCTCACTTACAAGGGTCGTCAAGATGGAATGGCCACTTCCTCCTCTAAATTTTACCCCTCCACTGGCTCACCAAAGGGTGAGTCAACTTGGAATGACCACTTGCTTCTCTAAATTTTACCCCTGCCTTGCCCACAAAAGGGTGAGTCAAGTTGAAATGGCAACATCCTTCTCTAAATTTTACCCTCGGGTGGCTCACCAAAGGGTGAGTCAACTTGGAATGACCACTTCCTTCTCTAAATTTTACCCCTGCCTTGCCCACAAAAGGGTGAGTCAAGTTGAAATGGCAACATCTTTCTCTAAATTTTACCCTCGGGTGGCTCACCAAAGCGTGAGTCAACTTGGAAGAGCAACATCCTTCTCTAAATTTTACCCCTGCCCACTAAAGGGTGAGTCAAGTTGAAATGGCAACATCCTTCTCTAAATTTTACCCCCTGCATGGCCCACAAAAGGGTGAGTCAACTTGGCATGGCCACTTTCCTCTCTAAACTTTACCTCTGCATGGCCCACAAAAGGGTGAGTCAAGTCGGAGTGACCACTTCCTTCTCTAAACTTTACCCTGCCCACAAAAGGGTGAGTCAAGTTGAAATGGCAACATCCTTCTCTAAATTTTACCCACCCGAGGGTCACCAAAGGGTTCTCAAAATTCTACCCTGCCCACAAAAGGGTGAGTCAAGTTGAAATGGCAACCTCCTTCTCTAAATTTTGCCCTCGGGTGGCTCACCAAAGGGTAAGTCAACTTGGAAGGGCAACATCCTTCTCTAAATTTTACCCTGCCCACAAAAGGGTGAGTCAAGTTGAAATGGCAACATCCTTCTCTAATTTTTACCCTCGGGTGGCTCACCAAAGGGTGAGTCAACTTGGAAGGGCAACATCCTTCTCTAAATTTTACCCCTGCATGGGTCCACAAAAGGGTGAGTCAAGTTGGCATGGCCACTTCCCTCTCTAAACTTTACCCCTGCATGGCCTACAAAAGGGTGAGTCAAGTTGGAGTGACCACTTCCTTCTCTAAATTTTACCCTGCCCACAAAAGGGCGAGTCAAGTTGAAATGGCAACATCCTTCTCTAAATTGTACCCTCGGGTGGCTCACCAAAGGGTGAGTCAACTTGGAAGAGCAACATCCTTCTCTAAATCTTACCCCTGCCCACAAAAGGGTGAGTCAAGTTGAAATGGCAACATCCTTCTCTTAATTTTACCCCTGCATGGCCCACAAAAGGGTGAGTCAAGTTGAATTGGCAACATCCTTCTCTAAATTTTACCCTCGGGTGGCTCACCAAAGGGTGAGTCAACTTGGAATGACCACTTCCTTCTCTAAATTTTACCCCTGCCTTGCCCACAAAAGGGTGAGTCAAGTTGAAATGGCAACATCCTTCTCTAAATTTTACCCTCGGGTGGCTCACCAAAGGGTGAGTCAACTTGGAAGAGCAACATCCCTCTCTAAATTTTACCCCTGCATGGCTCACAAAAGGGTGAGTCAAGTTGAAATGGCAACATCCTTCTCTAAATTCTACCCTCGGGTCGCTCACCAAAGGGTGAGTCAACTTGGAATGACCACTTCCTTCTCTAAATTTTACCCCTGCCCACAATTGAAATGGCAATATCCTTCTCTAAATTTTACCCTCGGGTGAGTCAACTTGGAATGACCACTTCCTTCTCTAAATTTTACCCCTGCCTTGCCCACAAAAGGGTGAGTCAAGTTGAAATGGCAACATCCTTCTCTAAATTTTACCCTCGGGTGGCTCACCAAAGGGTGAGTCAACTTGGAAGAGCAACATCCTTCTCTAAATTTTACCCCTGCCAACAAAAGGGTGAGTCAAGTTGAAATGGCAACATCCTTCTCTAAATTTTACCCCTGCCCACAAAAGGGTGAGTCAAGTTGAAACGGCAACATCCTTCTCTAAATTTTACCCTCGGGTGGCTCACCAAAGGGTGAGTCAACTTGTAATGACCACTTCCTTCTCTAAATTTTACTCCTGCCTTGCCCACAAAAGGGTGAGTCAAGTTGAAATGGCAACATCCTTCTCTAAAAAGGGTGAGTCAACTTGGAAGAGCAACATCCTTCTCTAAATTTTACCCCTGCCTTGCCCACAAAAGGGTGAGTCAAGTTGAAATGGCAACATCCTTCTCAAAATTTTACCCTCGGGTGGCTCACCAAAGGGTGAGTCAACTTGGAAGAGCAACATCCTTCTCTAAATTTTACCCCTGCCAACAAAAGGGTGAGTCAAGTTGAAATGGCAACATCCTTCTGAATTTTACCCCACAAAAGGGTGAGTCAAGTTGAAATGGCAACATCCTTCTCTAAATTTTACCCTCGGGTGGCTCACCAAAGGGTGAGTCAACTTGGAATGACCACTTCCTTCTCTAAATCTTACCCCTGCCTTGCCCACAAAAGGGTGAGTCAAGTTGAAATGGCAACATCCTTCTCTAAATTTTACCCTCGGGTGGCTCACCAAAGGGTGAGTCAACTTGGAAGAGCAACATCCTTCTCTAAATTTTACCCCTGCCCACTAAAGGGTGAGTCAAGTTGAAATGGCAACATCCTTCTCTAAATTTTACCCCTGCATGGCCCACAAAAGGGTGAGTCAAGCTGAAATGGCAACATCCTTCTCTAAATTTTACCCTCGGGTGGCTCACCAAAGGGTCAGTCAACTTGGAAGACCCTCTCACGATGTAAGTGCGCGAGCAACGACGAGCATACCTTCTTTTTATGCCACGCAGTGCAATATTGGGCAGAAAAAGTCTGGAGCCAAACGATTACTAGAACTCCCCGACGATTACATTCATGAGACTGCACCTCTCCTTCCAGCCTCCCAGGAGTTTCAGGCCAAGCAGCACCGTACAGCAAGGACAGGATGCGAATCTTTTGTGAACCGGGCACGATTGCCGAGAGGTTAGATGATCATGCTACAACCACTGTCCACAGCTGACTTTGCCAGCTTTGTTCAGGTCCAGCATTAATGATCATCAATCCCGCATGAAAAAGGGGCCGGGCCGGGTGGGCCGCACGAAGCGACCCTGATTTCTGACTGGAGCCCATTTGGCCACATTTCTACCGTTCATTTAAACAATTGATATCAGTTGATACTGGAACTCATCACTTTTCGGTTTCTGCTGACGAATGCATCACCTTTCACTGAACGGTTCGTTCATGAATAATTGTCCATTCGGTAACACCCCGACGCTTACATTCGATACTAAAGGCCCCCGACATTTAATTCTGTACTAAAACTCCCCGACGATTACATTCGGTACTAAAGCCCCCCGACAATTACGTTTTGTACTAAAACCTCCCGACAATTACTTTCTGTACTAAAACCTCCCGACAATTACTTTCTGTACTCAAACCTCCCGACAATTACTTGCTGTACTAAAACCTCTCGAAAATTACTTTCTGTACTAAAACCTCCCGACAATTACATTCTGTACTAAAGCCTCCCGACAATTACATTCTGCACTAAACCCTCCTGACAATTACATTCTGCACTAGGACCCCCCCAACGTGACCTCTTCCCACAGTGCCGCATAAAAAAAAAGAACCCTTAGCATAAAAAAAGAAACCATGAGCATAAAAAAAGAAACCAGGAGCATAAGAGAAAGAACTGCAAGCATAACAGAAAAAACCATTAGCATAAAAAAAGCACTATAAGCATAAAAAAAGAAACCCATACCCTAAAAGCACACCAACCCCGCTGTGAGCATAAGAAAAAAAAACATTAGCATAAAAAAAAAAACACCCAGCCCAAAAGGAAGCAACCGCCGAGCATGAGGGGATCAAAAGAAGTCAAAAAGAAAGGCCTTCAGTCATCGAGGGTCCACTTTTAACAGAACCCCTCCTTAAGCTTCCCAAAGGGCCCATTTCGGAGTTTGGCCCCCGAACACCTCCAATGACCGACTGGGATTGCGCTAGTTACACGGTCTGGAGAACGGGCATCTGTATGCGCACGTAACTCTAGGCCTCTTGCACAAGTAACTCGTCTTAAAAAGCCTGGAAGTAGAAGCAGAAGTCATCTGCAGAAGCAGCCCATGCTCTTGCACTTCAGTTCTGGGTATGGATGGAAGATGTGGACCTGTGTACCTTCACTCTCGTGTGGCCGAGACATGATGAGATAGAGCCTATAGAAGGTTGATGAAGGACAGCCACCAGAATCATGTACATCTCCGATCATCGGGGGTAAACCACTTCTTCAGGTTCTTCCCAGGAGTATTCCTACGTCCTGCTTTCTGGCTGATGGGTGATGTCATCTCTTCTCAATCTTGCTCTCTAGACTCTGGAACAGCAGCAAGGCGCGCTCACCATCTCCCATCTCCCGTCCCTTCCTCCGGTGCGAAATCCCCGCAGCACCCCGCACTTTTGACTGCTGCACCCCATCCGTCTCAGGTCGGCTGGAGCCAAAAGAGGGTGCCCAAGGACGGATCCCTGAGCGGGACGGCGGGAGGGAGTCCTGTTCCTGTGCGGAGGGGGGGCAGGCTTCGTGCATGTGGGCGCCTAAAGGCCCACGTGTTCTGAGGCAGTCCGAAGGGTGCAGGGAAGGTCGGGGGATCGGAGGAATCCGTGGTTCAGCTTGGTGTTCTAAGAAGAATGGCATTAAAAAAGGGGTGAACCATGGTGAACCAAAGTATGAAAAATGGTTTGAGCCATACCCAGTCATTCAATCATGTTCTCATCCATGTGGACTCCTGGCACGAACACTGGACTCCTGGCACTGATAGACCTCTAGGGTCCAAGGACTTACGAGGCCAAACATCCGACTTCCCAGCAGTTCTTGAAGCACATCATTGGGGTGATGGCCTTGGCTCGCTTCGCCTGAGGAGAAAAAAATACCGTTCAACACTCCACAACACGACTTGCGGTCTCGCTGTCCGCCCCTCGAAGCCCTTCCACTACACTGGGGTGCCAGAGGGTATGCCTATATCACAGAACACCGTGTGAAAAGAAAACATGCACCCCCATCTCAAGGAACCGGTTTAAGACACAGTATCCGAATCGGTGGGTGTGTATAAAATGGGAAGACCCTGTCGACCCCGTGGAAGGAAGATAGACCACCAGAAATTGGTGGAGGGGTTGCCCTAAATACAAAACCCACATAGAACCGCTCCTGAACGCCGTAGCTGCCCGTGTCCGCTTTGGGTTTGCCCATTGGTCTTTTCACTCCTCCAAAAACTGCTTGCCAACCCAAGCATCAGCTGCACGGTCGCATACACGGACTTCTCATCCCCTGGGATTTCAGGCAGAGGCAGGTGAAGAACCTTCCTCTCCTTCAGTGGACTCAACTAGTTCCTCAAAGTCCGGAGTGAGAGCAGATGGCACATGATGATGGCACGCCCCAAGTTGGGTATTTTACGAAGCGACCCCCCCTTCTGTCTAAGTCATCGAACGGGGGTGCCAGTGCCATCTACATAGCTGGCCTGGCCTCTACTCCCCCACATGGCCGTCTCCCGTCTCACACATACTCTACGCTAAGCATGCCGCTGCAGCACGAGCACGAGTCGGAGCAGCTCAGAAGTCCGTCCAACCGAAGGGCGACCGACTCAAAGGTCCGGTTTCCCAACCATCATGAGGTGTTACAAAAATGTGAGCCGCTGGCGTGAAGGCAGTGGAAGAACTTCTCTTCTTGGAGGGATAAGCACTGAGCAATCCACTAAATTAATCAGAGAGATCAAACCCGGGTAGACCTTGGCTCGATATTTCAAGAAAATGTCTCTTCGGATTCGGATGAGGCCCATTTGGCCAATGGGCACACTGGCAAATCACCAAAGAAGAACAAACAAACGACCCGTTCCCAGGTCAAAAAAAGCACCAAAAACAAAATAAGGGAACCCTATTTTTTGCTATTTACATAAGGGAACCCCAAAAAGGAACCAAAGCTGTCTTCTACAGCTCTTGGACGGCCCACTCCTTAGACGGTACGGGCTCCGAGTGGCGCGGCACAGCGCCGCTCAGCGACAGCACGGCACCGCAGCGCGGGCCGGCGATGACGCGCAAAAGGAAGGGCCTTGGTGTGGGTGATGCGGCCTCCACCCCAGTAGCGATGGCCTCAAATACCCCCAAAATGAATTGAAGGAAGATCCTATTTGGATTCTGGATCTTTCTGGAACATGCAAGATCAGACAGTAGGCGTAATCTTTTGGAAAGGAGGTGCAGGCTCATGGTGTGCATTGAATAAGGAAGGGTCTGGGTCTTGAGACTCAAGACCAACCCGTGTCTGAGCTTCGGATGCGATCTCCCTGGCGCGGCCTGGCGGGTAGACTGGTCTAGGTTCCGAACCCTTCAGGCCTTCAGGGTATGGTTTTCATACGTTCCAAGAGAGGTTGAGAGACCAGAACTGGGACCCTGGGATGTGGTACATATGGGATGGGCGACAACACGGGCTCTTCAACCTCTCTTGGTTGGTCCCTCGCAGCCAGTCCTCATGCATCATCGACTTCTTAGCTAGGCCCTCACTCGATCCAGCCCAAGATGAAACGAACGGATTAGTGGTTTCAGAGTAGATGGCACTGTGCCATTGGCACTCCAGGTTTTTCATGTGAGGCTCCATATCACCACCGAACTTGGGGGATGGTGCCATCTACTCTGAAACCACTCTAGAAAAGATTGAAGATCGATCTGTAGGGATTCATGGCAGAGTGCACCGCGTACGTCGCGTGTGTTTCCAACAGGGGTAGGAGAGTAGCGTAGCGTCGCTGCGTGTGATGAAACGCAGCTCGTTTTGAGCAAGAGCCCTGCTTTCAGATTCATCCAAAACTCCAACAGACCCAGTCCAAGTCGCATCAAAATCATGTTTGCAGCTCCTTCAACGACTTCATTCAATTGCAACTGGGGCACCGTTCGGAAGCACCGTGGCCGTTAGCGTTCGGTGCTGCCACCGGCTCCCATCGCCACAGCGACAGCGCGGCCTGGATGGAAAAGATGAACCGAACTTTCTATCAGGACCCCCCAAGGGGCTTCTATTGATCATCCCTAGGCCCAAACGCTGTTAAGGGGTCTCCATTATATCACCCCAACAGCGGGTCCTGGTAGCTGTTCTTGTTGAAGTTTCGCGGGGAAGGGTTAGCTCCCTCCAAACAAAGCCTTTAGCAGATCCACGTGCGCAGACATGCGCCAGTCACGCTGCGTCACGCTCCCCAAGCCAAGAGAAAGCCTTTGCTTTCCCCAGTGGAACCGGGCCCGGCGGAGTGGAACCGGGCCCGGCGGAGTGGAGAGCATGGCCAGTAACCATGCAACAGCCAGCCCAAGTTCAGCAGTGCATTAGGCACTTATGATGGCACCACCTTGAATAGCTGGTGCCCGATCAACTCCGTTTGGCTGAAATCCCCTAAGCTCCTAATATATATTAGGCTCTTGACACGTTCTACAGCATCTTCCAAAGCTACAAACAACCCCTGCTCAGACATGTGGCAAAGTTCAAGGACTTCTCCCTCTCTCTCTCTCTCTCTCTTCCGACCTGGACCCCAAGTCCTCCTTCCCAGAAACACTAGCCGAACAACCCTGAAGACCTCTGCCCTTCCCGGTGTCTTCCAACCTCCCTGACCGCCACAGAGCTGGAGGTCGCGTCTCGAGCACCTGGTGCCGGCTGTCGGCATCAGGCATCAGCACCGTGGGCGGGCTGCGGTCGAAACCGGTGGACTGGACTGCAGGTCGGTGGACTGCGTGGAGGTCTACCAAAGACTCCTAGAAATAAGGCCTGTTAAAGCCAGTACTGTAGCTGGTGGGTGTTTTCAACCCACTTGGAAAAATATGAGTCAGAGGGTCCAATCATCCCCAAGTAAGGGTTGAAAAAAATATCCGAAACCATCACCTAGGAAGGCTCTTACTGATCAGGCTCGATAAGGACCTCCAAAGAAAGGCCCTTCTTCGATAACGGCATCACTCGAGACGTCGAGGTCGCCGGGGATCCGGCTGACAGGATTCCTGTTCACTGGCTTTGACGGGGGAGTTGGGGAATGCAAGCTGGGGTGATCAAAACCCCCCTTTTGCCTGAAACGGCCACCGTCTGTAACAAGCTGGCATGCACCATCTTCCCATCATCTTCCCTCCAATCCTCCACCTCTTCGAACCCCAAAACCCTCCCGCCTGAGACGCTCAGGAAGCCGCCCACACCCGACAGGCGTCCATCCACATGGCCTCGAGATCAGGTCCCCCCCCACTCGCCCGTCGTCCGCCCCCACGCCCCCGCCCCCGCCGCAAGGGGGAAACCACCTTCTGGTCGGGTGGTGGGTGGTTGGGGGAAGCCACTGCAGGCCGTCGGGCCACGTGGGTCGCATCGAGAACTCCCCAGGGCCACCAGATCGGGCATCGTGGATCAGTTGGGGGCCCCCCCGCGGAGCACGAAACCTCCCGTCGACGCGGATGAGCCGGCACCGGCCCGGCCGGTCTCTGGTTCGAATGCCGCGGCTCCCATGCCGGCTGTGACGGGTACCCCCCAAACACAGCTGCGTGGCGGTGCCACGAAACCGTTCCGTGGCGCAGGAGGTTAGGCCACGCGCCTCTTGTAATGTCCCACTGACCTGCGGCTCCGGTCATCATTTTGGGGGGACCTCCCTCCCTTTGGCTTCACGGCACTTCTACCAAACCCTGCACCAAAGCCGTCAACATGAATGTCCCACTGAACTGCTCCGGTCACCATTTCTGGGACCTCCCATGACCGTCCCACCCCCGATTTCGCTCCGGCGCCTGCCAAGCGCAGCAAGCCGCGCCGCAGCGACCAGTGACCCGCTCGGCTGTCCAGCTGGTGGCCGTGCACGCGCACGCCCGGCTCGTCCGGAGGCCTGGCGGGTGCACGGCACGGGGCCCGCGCTCGGGCACTTCTCCGCTGCATCTGGGCAGGCCATGCATGGCCATGCCCACACCGGTGGTGTTTTTTTAATACCTATATACCAACACCTTCCAACAGGTCTCCGAAATGGAGGGTTGGGAAGGGCCCTAACAGGTTTCAATTGGTGACCCGTTGGAGGTGCTGGTATTTCATCGGATTGTAAGGAAAAGCTGGAGTGGAGAACTCTTACCGCACCCAGTTGGTCGTCTCGAGACGATGATCTTTCGTCGTCCAGTCGCCTCAAAGGATCGAAACGATCGAGGAGTCCTGATGTTTCTGGGACTGCGACTGGGGTGGGAGGTCCGACCTCCCCAGTTCGATCGTGTCCTCTCTCGAGCCTACCCTCAGGTCTGGTAGAAAGAAAGGAGTCGCAGGTGGTGCAAAATTGATGCAACAATTCCTGGATCCTCGCTTCTTACCCCTTGTGACCCTCCATGAATACACTCTGACTCTAACTTATTAACAAGGAAGTGGAAAATAGGCCCCTGGAGGACCATTGCGCTCCATGGGCAGAGGGTTTTCATGAGTGAGTCGGAGAGTGCATCCCTGGCCTGTCAGCCACATTCCAGGTGTGCACTGCTAAGAAGCATCCAGGGCAGCCTGGCAGCCAGGAGCGAGACCGAGCGCGGCGCCGGTGGACACAAGGGGTCATGCCCTCCGAATAAGCATGGCTACGTGGATGGCATGGCCCCCAGGGAGTGAACGTTGTTCGAATCCCAAACAGATGGTGAACTCCGCTTCCTCTAGTAACAAGAAGCTACGGACGTGAGTGTATGCCCCCAATGCAGCGTGGACTGATTCTTCAAGTCGGTCTCAGCTGATGTCAGCGCTTACCACGGTGCCGCGAGGTGCCATCCACAAAGCATCCGGCTCACAGGGCCCGGGAAGATGTTGGATCTATCCTTTGGATGATGGGGCCTGGTTGCAGGCCTTGTTCAAAAACAGGGATTTGCTTGTTTACTGACTGTGACCGGTTTCCTGGGACAGACCCATCCCCTCAGTGAAGTTTGTGAAGTCGGTGTCGCGGCACGCCAGCCGCTGATCTCTGTAATGCAGACGCTTGATATATACAGTATATAATATAAGTAAAATAACCCGCCATTTTGGATGGCAGTACCACTTTATAGGTGGGCGGATCATGTTTATCAAGAGTCTACATTAAACAACCTTCGACCAGAAATGGTTGAACCTTGACACTGGTTTTTCCCCAACAACACTACAGCTTCTATGAGTCAGGATTCCAGCCTCTTTCACACAGCCAACCTCACAACATTGGCCTTCGAGGGAGCTCCGACTGAGACAACGCCTGGTCTTACATCGCTGGTCTGGGCGAGGCATCGTCCTACACAACATGGAACAACCCTCAGTGTCCCAACCAACGAGTTTCCAGTCCTTCTGCTTCCAGTCCGGAAGTCCGTTCCATTTCTGTCTGGACGCTTCCTCTCTCCCAACGTTGGCCCGTCTTGCGACGTGCACATTCACGACGCCTTCCTCTCGGTCGGCCCGGGCCATAAAGAGCTGCTCTTGCTCCGGTGGCAGGGGCTGCCCAGGAACCAGCGGCACACAGGGACGGAAGGCATCCTTGGACGAGTCGAAAAGCATGAGAGCTGGGGGCGGATGGAGTGCGGATAGAGTAGCCTTCTGGGGATGTTGTGGAGAGATCAATGTTTTTGGGCGCAGGTGTTGCAGGTGCCGCAATTCCTGGTGCACGGTTGAACTGAAACCTTAAAACTGTAGTTATGGCTCAACCAGGCCCCAAAAAATAAAACATCAAAAACCGTTTCATGTCGCTTTGGAAACATCTGGATCATGTGGGGCTTCGCAGAGCTCCACATCTCTGTCACCAAAAACCCGAGAAACGGGTGACCCTACTTTACCCTACCCCCCCTCTCCTACCAACAAAGGTTTTTCATGACCCTATAGACTATACCAGTTCGGTACCCCAGGCTACGGGTCCTATTTACGGTCACTGAACCTCTCTCCTATTATGACTCACCGACTCACCTTCGACTCACGGTCAGACCTTCAGAAGCCCACAAAAAGGGGGGGTGACACCCGCGGTCCGGCCACGGGGCACAGGGACCGACCTCAACTCGACCACATGAGCTCCCCCCGCCTGCGCCGCGTAGAAGGCCAACTTCTTGTGCTGCCTGCGGCCGCGAGGAAGGGCGCTGCTGGAGAGACAGACTAAGAAGTCTCCCCGGAAGCAAGACCTAGAGTCTCCGACTTGACAGGCGCCCCCTGCTCAAAATCGAGTGCACAGATCATGGTCCAACAGCATCCAGGAGCGTCCATCATTAGGCCCTATCCTTCCAGGTCTCTAGATCTCAGGGATGCAAGACAGCTTCCACACACCTCCCAGGATCTCTTCTTGTTCCCTGGATTCCCCGCAGGTACCTGCTTCTGGTGGCTTCCTCATCGCCACGTGGACTCAAGTGGAAGCTCGCGTGGACTCGCGTGGGCCCGCGTTCCGTGTGACCCAACTCGCGCCTCGACAAGGAGAGGAGGCCCTTGTTGTTCAACTCGCGCGGCCTTAAGGGTCGGTGCTGACCGAAGAGGTTGTTGATGCTCTGGTAAACCACCGCCACGCGCTCCTCGGACCGCGCGCGCGCGGACGCGCGTGCCTCAAGCAGAAAAAGAAGGAGAAGGGTTTTCTTTCACCTTCAATAAAAACCCTCCAAACCCACCCCAGTCCCACCTTCTCAGAAGGTAGTTGGAGCCCTAGGGATTCGGATGCACAGTTTTTGGGCAGAAGGGATGACGAGGAGAACTGTCTGACAGTCAGGCACAGTGCGAAGCTAACGGATATTCATCCCCGTTAAAATAAAGGGGGAGGGGTTGAGTCCCGCAGTTTTGTATGGGCACCAGGGTTGCAGTCTGCAAAAAGCCCTGACCCAAGGGCATTGGGCTTGTACAAAATGGCATGGGCCAGAGTGGGCTCGTACAAAATGATGATGCCTGAAGATCACTATCTTATGCTGAAAAGTGCACAAAACAGCCATGCAGCAAAAGTGATTGCTCTACAAAGTGGTATCAAATACCTGGTCGAGGACATGATTTAAGAGACCATTTGCTGACCATTCTGGAGTCATGTTGTAGAGAAACCTTGTTGGTCAACGCATCTGCCGGTTGTGTCCACCAAGCTTGAGGACCTGACGCCCACAGAAACGAGTATGCCCACGCGATCCCGCAGCACAGACTCCCAGTCAGCTTCCTGTCTCATCACCCCCAGTCTGCTACACACATGACATCCAAAGAAAGAACAACTAAACAAACAAAACGTGTACTGTAGGCTGTAGGGTCAACTTGGAGAGTTTTGGAGGTATGCTTCTCTGGGTAGCTGCACTGCAAGTTTGAGCTCTTTGGCTGAAGGACACATGGACAGTTACAGTAGAATAGGGTTCTTGGAGAGTTCTTGCAAAACCCTTCCCCCGCAAAAGAGAAAAGGAATCTTCAACCCGGACCACGGAGTTGGGGTGCTTTTCCTATGTATGTGTCCATCGGATCAAAACACCACCCGCTCCTTCCGTGGGTGTTGGAAGTGGTTCCTCCAGACTTCGCGCCATCTCTGCCAGGACTCCATCCACTCCGCGCCGGAAGAGACATTCACAAGCACCTCTGGCAGCCTTGGGGTGGGTAAGCCAGTGGCATGGGTGGCGAGACCCAGAAGGTGGGACTGGTCGGTGTTACGTTCGGGTCGGAGTCATACCGAACCGGTTTGGAGGTACGACTGGTTCGCCCAAAACGGACCAGGAAAGTGTTTATCAAATGGAGTGATGTCAAAAAAAAGGCCCCTCAAGGTGGTTAAGGAATGTCCACGACTTGCGGGGGGTGGCCCTTTACATATACTTTTTTTTTCAACCTGGTCGTGACCTCTATGGTGGCACCGGCAGCCACCCAGGTTAGATGGTCAAACTCTTATCAAAACAGGGGTCATGTCTACCGGGAACGCATTTGACCTCTGTGTTGATAAGAACCAGACCATGTTCTGGCTAAAAAACAGGGGTCAATCAGGTTCTAGGTAGGCATATCATCACCCGGTTGGTGGCTTCAACTCACTTGCAAACATATGAGTCAGCGGGCGTCTGCTCATCCCAAGTCAAGGTTGAAACCAAAAATATCCTTTAGCTACCACCCAGGTGGTAACTCTACTTGGGCGACTTGCCAAGCAAACATCCAAAAAAGAAGCTCCCTTTTATTAGACTCCTGATTCTATGAAACAAATGTTTAGAGTCCTTAGAGTCTAAGAAGGTTCACGTGAGGGCTCCTTCTTCCATGCCCAGAGCTTCCAACACCAAGTCGCCCCTCCTCCTCCTCCGCCGTGGGCCGCTCGCTCCAGTAGAGCGCGCCGTCCACGCGCACGTCCGCGAACTGCCACAGCGCCACGCCGATGTAGCCCGCGGCCAAGGCCGCACTCAGGGTGGCACCTGGAAAAAGAGGCGGCTTTAAAAAAGAAATGCCGATTCCAAATCCACCTCCCCCCCAAACTCCACCGCTCCACTGCCACCCGGAGCGGTGAAACCCAAAGACACCGCCGTTGTGACCGCATGGACCCGACGTTCCCGGCGCCTACGATCGACGCTTGCAGTTCCTCGGACCAGAGGTCCTGCCCGGGCGACTCGGTGGACAGGACGTGCTGCGCGACACATCGGAGCGGTCGGAGTGGGAGTGAGCCGAGGGGTCATGATGAGGCGTTGCGTTGTCGTTCCAAAAGGGGCAGATCGAGAAGGGTCGTTCCAATCGGAGCTTCATGAGCTGGAATGAGGTGGGTATATAGGTGTTTGTGGAAAGCTAGGCAAGTAGAACACCCAGAAACGGTGAACCCACGGGTGGTGTCTGCTTGCTAGGATAAGCCCCAACAGTTCAAGAACGTTGTTGCAAACAGTGTGTGTCTGCAATTTGGACCACCCCCCTAAACATGCCTAAACAGAGGCCTCGTTGCACGATAGCCTCTAAGAAGTTCAGGGCTGGTCACTATGAACACCTCCAACAAAAAAAGGACCAGCCCACCGTGCCCAAGATTCATTATGCCCTGATGAGGTCTTATCCTCGCACGTGCGACAAGGACACCTCTACTCCTCTCCAGGCTTCACACCTGATCGCCCAAGCCCACTTCCCAGGCCTCTTCTCCTGGCCTCCCATGCCAGCCCGCCAGCCCCCCCGCGCCCGCTTCAGCAATGAGCAGCGGCTTACCTGCGTGTGGTTCGCTCTTTTAGGAGCCACAGCCCTGCTGCTGGAAACTGGAGGACTGTCCCTGTAAACACTGCAAGACTATACCGTGTGCTGGGGTTGACACATGTTGATATGGCCAGCATCAAGCCATGCAAGGAGTTGAGGGGAGTGATGATCCAGGTTGGCCCTCTGAGAAAATGAAGGTTGCCCCATGGAAGCCGCATGGAATTGATCGCAGGCATATGATGTTGCTCATGCTAGTTCACTATAGTTCACTTGGTGTTAGGGCTCTTGGGGGCTCAGTCACACACGGCACCGCCACAAGCACCAACGCCGGTGGAAGACTCCGGCACCTCAAAAACCACAAGAAGTTCCGTTCCATTCCATGGAGGGTGGAGAGGCCAGAAACACATGATGGAGTGACCTACTGGAGTGACCTCTATTTTGGACCGCCACCCAGAATATGATCTTCTTCTCAAAGTCTAGGGGCCACAATTTTGTCCAATTTGGGAGGTAGGGGGAGTGCAGCGGCCAAGTCGTTTCGCTCTCGAATGGTCAAACACGAGAATTCAAGCTCGAACTCAAAAGGTGCCAACATGTGCCAACCAACCCAACCAACCCAACCATCCAAGCACTTCTCGCCCCCCGGCGCGAATTGTCGAAGTCGCCGCGCGACGAGCACGTCGCGACGGGGCCTGGATGTGTCGCCCTGGCCCAGTCCGCATAGCTCTCCCACACGCTGGGGATCTCCAGGACGGACGCGTCGTACCAACCTGCGACGCGCGGCGTCCCAAGCGATATCGTCGTCCTTCGGCCTCCGTGCACCGAAAAACATCCGCTGGGGCTGGGGATGCACCACAAAACCCCCACAAAGCATTAAAAATTGGGTTTGTCCTAGCAAAATACGTGTTTTTTGCCTGTAAAACTATATGCTTCATGGTTTTGTAAGACCTGGAAGGTGGAAGGGCTCTGATCGAAGAAAACCCCACAACAACTGGGCCCCCTGTTTGGGGTGGTGAATGGAGACCCCTTAACCTCTAAGGAGCTATAATTAGACACCCCTTTTTCGGGGGCCCTGGTGTAGGCTGATTGTAGGCTGAGATGTACAGCTCGTGGTCACGCACCAGAACCTCTCAATAGGAGTCATGTGGTGTGTATGTATATATATATATACATATACTTGTATATGTGTGCATTATTCACTTGCAAATCAGAATCTGATCCCCCAGCAAACCCGAATCAGGAGTGGAGGAACTTAAAGGGAGAATGACTCATATGACATCATATGACTCCATATTGACCCAGTCTCTTTGTACTGGATCTGGTGTTTCCAAAACCACGTGCCACCACAAAGTATGTGTCATTGCGCCCAGTCCATTCTTCTGAACCCCAAAAACCGGAATCCATGAGGGGCCGTCGGACGCGTCCTCCACCACATCACTTTCGCAGATTGCGTAGCTTGCTTCACCGAATGGAGCGTTCAAACGTTGGCTGAAGCCCAGTAGCTGAAACATGATGCAGAAAAGGCAAAAAGCACTTCGACCCCCCTACTGGCCCTGATGCGGATATATAAATTAAATCTCCCGTGGGCCCACCAGGGACCGGGAGATGACCGACGGTCGACATCACTCAACCCTAACCTGTGGAAAAGACCTAAATAAATCCACACTCCTTGAAATGGAAGTGGAGCTCACCACCACCTGTTTGGCATTCCCATGGAATGATTTCATGGTCATCCGAACGAAAGGGGGTGTCCCCTAACTGGGCTCTAAGAAAGCAACACTGAACTAGGGCTGTGCCATGCTGTGCCATCTACTTTGCAGGGAACCAAGGCAAGTTTTTCGTGTAAAAGCCACTCCTCCAGCAAAGTAATGTAGACTCTTGATTGGTCAACCCCCCTGCATTGGTCCCTCCATTGGTCAACCCCCTCCATTAAATTGGACAAATCCTCTTCATATGGGGGGGTTATCAATTAAGAGTCTACATACATTACAGTAAACAACCCCCCCCAAAAAATAGAGGTAAAAGCACATCCAGCCAAGGGTCCTGGCTGATCGAGCTGTCGAATTGCTTGTTGGTTTCGGCGCCCAGTGAGCGTCCCCCCCCCTCGAGCGAAGCTCGAAGCCCATGAAATCCCATGAAGCAAGCCACCGACGGTCTGCCGTCTGACGTGCAATTGGTGCGAACATGGGGGGGCCGGAAACAGGTGCGAACATGTGTGACAGCTGTTCACCAAAACAAGAACTCCAGATCTTAACAATGATCCAAATCGAGTGCTTGTCTTAATCTCTTCCTATATAGAAGTCCCAAGAAAGCTACTTCCTCAGTGAATCGAAGGACGGCATGTTTTCAGGTCTCCTGGTCGTCTCTTTCGGGTCGACCCGACTCGCTTGCTCGGCTGCCCAGGTCTACAAGTCATCTCACCGAGAACACCCCCGAAAACCCCAAGCGAAGACAGTCTCAGTGCCAGCAGTTTCTAGGTTCAAGGCTCATGTTGATCCAAGAGGGTCCAAAAGGTCTTCCGGAAAGATGTGAGTGGTGGGATGCTGTGGGTCCTCTCTCTCTCTCTCTTCTAATACTGTTCTCCGCAGCTTCCTCGCTGCAGATGTCTCCAGACGTCTTGATCGCCCAGCCACCCACACGTGCCATCCCTGCACATGGCCGCCAAGGGCATTTTACCACCCACGGTGGGCCGTTGATTCCGCAGTTGGCAGCGATCGAAGTTCCAATTCCTCCTGGGATCCATCTTCCAAAACCCACGGACATCTTTCTCTCCACCTGCGATCTTGTTGGTGGAGGTCAGGGCTTTGGCCACAACTTCCGACCGATGGAATTCCTTTCATGATCTATTCTGGCGTGCGGGTGGCAGGCCGTGTCTGACACGCGAAATGCTTCGTTCATCGGACATCGCAAAAAAAGACACAAACATGTCCTCCGCCCGGCGACGGCATTTGACGTGATGCCGCGCTTCCCCCGTCCTACAGCTTTTTCCCCTTTTTGGAATATGGCCTCCAACCTACATGGCCTCCTTTCTCAAATGTCTTTTCCCCCCTTTAATGATTTAATGATCTTCTCCGTCACCACACGCGTAAGGCCACCGTGGTCCAACGGGGTTGCTGAAAAAGCCTATTTTGGACCATCATGGCCACAGGTTCCACCAGGTGAGCCTTGTCTTACACAAAAGAGGTGGTCTTCGGTGGAATCCACGTCCTGTGGAGGGTCGGACTGTAGCAGCCTTTGGCATCTCAAAGAGTTGTCCGGTTTCGTTCTCCATTTGGAGAAGCATCTTGCAAAAAGAATATCCCAGAGAAGGTCAACATCCCAGAGACTCGACGTCTTCGTTCTCATTCTTTCCAGAAGAAGGGTGAACCGGTAAGCAAAAAGGACCCAATCTTGCGGGTTCAGGCATTGAGCCAGCACCTGGGCATGCCTCATGTCTCAGCTTGGGTATGCTTGACATCGGGATGGCTTGGGCATGCTTCGCCCGATTTCGGGGCAGTCATCTTGGCTTCCCAGTTGTGTCCTTCGGTCGGCCCAAGGAGCAGCGGCACGCTGGAGCGGCGAGGCTACATCCCGCCTACATCTAAGCAGGTTGAAACATCCCGGCACTGTCTGGATGAAGGGTGAAATAGCCGTGGGAATTGGCTCAACGCTCGGAATTCAATCACAGTTTAGTTCTTCCTTGGCGAGGCTGTTCATGGGTGTCACACTCGATGCCTGCTCCACTCATTGAAACTGGAGTATTTCCCACTTGCTTGGTCTCTTTTCATGTCTAGCGCCGAGTTCTTCAAGCCTCTCACCCTTCACCCATCCAGGACAGCCTCCAGCTGAAGCGAAAATCAAGCCTCAAGGCTCCCAAGAACCCCGGCCAATCGGGCTCCAAAGTTCGCTCAGCACCCCTTGGTGTCAGACAGGGGGAAGTTCACCACCTCCACGAGGGGACTATGGTGAATCGCTGCGCGGAGCGAAAGAACACCGCTGACCACAAACGTGGCACCGCGAGCTTCTGGCTCGCCATCCATTGGAAAAATGACATCGACCGTTCACATCCATTCACATCCATTCACATCCATTCACACCAAGATCCCATCATGATCTGAATTCCAATCTATCAAACCCTGAGGGCAGCCCTGATGTCTGAGGTCATGGTGTCGCGGAAGGTCATGCTGTCGCGGAAGAACCCGAATACCTACTACACGGGAGTCACGGGCATATCTTCCAACTGCCCCCCACCCATGTCGCTTTCTTTTAACTGAGTGCGCACCAACCGTCACCACTGTCTGGCTTTAAGTTAGTTTTGGGAGTCAGGATGGATTTCCCCAAGTCTGTCCAGGGTTGGTTCGGAGAGCGAGAGAGAGAGAACAGCACCGCGACTGCTCGTGAAAAATCAACCAACATGCCGGAGGGCCAAGCCGCTCCTCCTCGCAAAACTCAGCTTGGGTGAGCCGTGTGGACCGTCTTGACACCTTGAAACGGGCCGTCCTGCAGACCCACCAGCTTGAAATCCTCCTTAGCTAAGGGGCGTGATATTGATACCGTGTCTATACAGTGTCTATCTACAGTGTTTCACTGGGATCCTAGCTTGGAAAATACACCAAAGGAGACCATCTTCAGGCAAACCCATCTGTTCCATACCTAACCTGATCCCAAGACCAGGTTGCTTCTCACCCAGCGCGATGCTGGAACCACCGGACGTTCAGCCGCCGTCGCCCATGGCCACTACGTACCCCCCCCCCAGTGCGTTCGCACCTGCCGCCGGGGCTGTGAACTGCCCACGAGGAAAGGAGAACGTCAGGTGGATCCGGAGGAGAAGGTCCCCGAGTTAAGTTTGAGCACCCCCCCCCCAGCCGCTGTTTCTGGGAAAATCATCCCGATGTCTTTTTTTGCTGTTTCCACTTGTTTCTGCCATGGATGGACAAACTTCCTCACAAGACCTTGAGATGGGAAACCCTTTCTTCACGAACTGGATGTGGAACTGCACTGTGCCCATCTACTCATGGCCTCCTGCGCCCACAGTTACATACCTCTCCAGCACTTCCCTGTCACCGGTCATCGTCCAGCATCGCGCGCGCCGGGTCGGTGAAAAGACACCGCCGCGGTGAAACTCGGGGCACTTGCCGCGGGAGGGCCTTCCAGCTCACCCTCTAAAGGGGGAGTGGCCACTCACAGGTGTTGAATGGTGTTGAAGCCTTGCGTCTCCGCTGAACCGAAGGTCCGCAGAACCCCCCCCGAACGACGCCGAGCCGCCTCTCGGCGCTTCGCCAGCGGCTGCGTCCGCATCTGCGAAAGGTTTTTGGGGGGCTGAACGCGTGACGTTTTCTCTTCGTCTCCCTGGATCCATCCAACTGAAGGTTCGACGATTAGACCGAGTCTATCCATCCCACCAGAGGCCCAACGAAACAGACAACCGCGGGGGCGAAGGGCCACAGCGGTTGCCGATAAGAGATGTGTCTAGCTTGGGTGTGTCCCATTCCCTGAAACATGATGATGTTTAGTTCCCTTCTGTAATATAGTGATAATTAATTGTTTACCAACTGTTCCAGGTCATGGGACACCCCCAATTTCTAGTCTTTTCTTGAACCCACTGATACGACTGATAACAGGTAAGGTGCCACTGTGATTAGCTGAGAGCGTTCATGCCAGAAAATGGCACTGGCAATGTCATCATTGTATAAGCCCAGAACCCACCATCGAGCTTCAGGAGGCTTTACATCTGCATTGAGTTGCAAGTGCCACAGGCACATGAAAAAAAGGTTCCATCTCACCCAAAAGGGGTGGAAAAAAGGTCTGGAAGCCTTCGATCGTCTGACAGGCTCGCTGAAAACCCCTTGCCAGAAGATGCCAGGTGTGTCAATGTGTTGGTCACGAAAGCCATCTCATTGAACGCTCTTCCCCATATAGTGATGATACTTCCTCTATTGAGGGATGCCAAGTGAACAAAATCCATTGCCATCAATGATTTCGGAGGTTTAAGGTCTGGGCCGGAGTTCATCAAGTCTACTGCTGGGACGAAGGGGAGCATTCGCATGGGACAAAGGCCTCCAACACCAGCGGAGAAAGAGAGTCTCCAAATTCCACACCTACTGCATAGCAAAACGCATCAACGAGTCTAGTGCAAGTGGTCCGCCCTCGAAAACCACCCTCGTCCATGCTCAGGCCAGCCAAGCGCCGCCGTGGGTTTTGAGCCGTGAACATTTCGAGGGCGGTCTAGCATTGATGCATTGATGCATTGACGGCGCAAGTGATCTCGTCGACAGCCGAGCGGCTCAGCTGTGCGATCAAGGAGAAACAGACTCCATCTCGGGACTACTGAGGAGACTGTCTTATGTGTCTGTGGGCCTATCTGCATCTTGTCCTGAGGTGATTGGCTGTGTTCCACTCACAGGAGTCTGCACTGACCTGGAACCCCAGATCATACCAGATCTGAAATAGGTTCAGTGAGTTCTTCTTTGTTCTTGATGAGTTCCACTGTGGTGGTGGAACCTTCCACAGTTGAGCTCAAGTGCCACAAGCTTATCACAAGCCACCACAGGGCAAAATGTTGAACATAAGGGGCCGGGGTTCCAGATGCTTTGAGGGCCAATTCGCAAGGACTCGGACGGTTGGGGGGGGCTCCACCCCCCCATCTGCGACGCTCCGATCAAGTCGGCGCGTTCTTTTCCCATCAGATCTGCAGCACCTCCTCTTCATCGTCCCACTGTGCTTCGTGCCTCCTGCGAATCAGATCCGTGGTAGCCGCTACCATATGACAGGCATTCACCGCAGAAAAACCCACCGAATGTAGGCATTTGCTGTCCCATGGGTCGCCTGGGTGCCAGGCATTTGGCTTGAGAATGAGAAGACCCGAGAACACCGGTGAGGCAAGAAGCCCCCCATGTAAGCCAGCCCCGTAGCACCGCAATTCCGCCATGCCCGGACCTACCATCAACTGGGTTGCAAAAGCACTGATCTTTTTGGAGGAGACAAGTCTTCAATGTCGAGTCAAGTGGTCCCCTTTCTGGTTGTCAAACCGTTGGTGAAATGGCACGTGTGGCGGAGGCCCATCAAACTCTGTTAGTATATATATCTTCTTCTGTCTTGTAGGGCATGTTCAGAATTCACCCAGGCCATGGAGTCTCTGAGGCCAATGAGTCGTCATGCGAAAGAAAAACCTGGTCATCCAGGTTTCAGAGTTCTTTCACGGCCACAACAAGTTGAAATGCATCCACACGAAAAGTAAGGCCCCAACTGTACCTGTGGCTCCAAAACCACCTCAACATACCTCAACATACCTCAACCCCACACTGCCCAGACCTCCCGACGGGGCTCCTCTCATGGAGCCCGCGCTTGCAGCCGACGCGCTCAATCAGCGCATCCGGATCGGCGCTGCGCAGGAAGCGCTCCAACCGCGCCTCAGGCGGCGCCCGCCGACGCCCGAGCCGAACCGGGGCCGGTCGGAGCGGGCTTAGAGGATGGAGAAGGGGCGAGGATCCGAGAAACAAGGCAGGAAAAAACCACACCCAAAAACACAACCAAACAAATCTCGTATTGCAAAGAACACGTCAACTCATACATCTGGGCCCCGTGTTGAGGCGAACTGTGCAGATTCCAGGAGTCCGGCATCGCCGCTCTAAAAGCGAGCCCGTTCAATGTCGATGCCACCACGACCTGGGGACCTCTACAACAGCACGGGTGGGTTTCCCAGTTCGGGGCACGTTCTGTCCAATCTGACTTTGTTACCCTCTGGGGCTCCTGTCCCATCTCCTCAGGTGACCGGTGGTATTCGACCCCCCTGGCACCCACCCCTGGCCCATCTTCGAAACGGAGGTGGGCCAGGAGCCCTATAGGGACTGTTCCTCTCCAAGTCCGATAGGGAACTCCACCAGACCGACGACTCATTTGGGATCCGAGCAGCCACGTAGAAGGCATGCGAGAGGCCGTTCGGCGGCTCTTGGGCAATCGTCACGGCAGCGGGCAAGAAGTCCATCGAATGGAAGCTCTCGCGGCACTGCTCCTGTGGTGAATGGACACCCGCACACCGTGGTGCGGGCACAAGTCAAGATCCTAGATCATTCCTGTTCATTTCTACCTATCGGCCATCTCTTTTGCTTTTATGAGTCTGGTCCCTGCCATCCCCTGCCTCCGCCCTGCCATCCCCTGCCTCCGCGTCCACGTTGTCGATCTTGACCAACTTGCCGACTGCATGTGCGTAGCTCAGGAAGAGAGAAAAAAAACATCTCACCCAGCATGCGATACTGGGGACCGCGGGGAACCCAACTCACTTGAAAAATCCGCCCGCACCGACTGTATGGTGCAGGTTTACCTGGGGGGGGGGCTATTTTTGGGCCAAAACCATGGGTTTTGGGTAGGTCGCGACGGCGGACTTCATAAAACACTGTTTTTTACAGCACAGAATGGACTAGTTCGTGCACGCACCCGCCCGGAACCGGCAAGAGAAAAATGAAAAAAAACACCTGTTGGTCTTCGATTTTCAGTTTTGAGACGTGTTTCTTTTCCATGTGTCTTGTCGGGAGGCCGGGGGACTAGATTTTGTATGATTTTGCGATTTCGGAGCTGTTTGGGTGACGGCTTTCGCCGTTTTTGTTGGGCAACTGTTTCATGGCGGTGCGGGCGAACCTTGCTGCGGAGCGGCGTGAATAATGAAAAATAAGGAAGTGAATCAAAATCAAACCATCTCAAGTCAAGATTGACCAAAGAATGTCCTGAAACATCCACCCAAAAGATCCCAGAACCTCCCTGTCCTCCTTCCCAGTTCCACTCGGCTTCGGGATCTGGCACCCGTCCCACTCCCCACGCGCCTCCACCGCCTTGGTTTCCGGCAAGGCTTCCAGCGCAGCCCATGGCGGTCTTCTTATATCTTCTCGGGGCGGCCCGGTCAGGAGCCACTGCTGCGCTCGTCAAGGACGACCCGTCACACCACCGCCCACACGGCCACAGCAGCGCTGCTTCGGTGTGCAGCGCTGGATCCCAAAGGTCGACTGTTCACGGCTGTTGGTTTCACAAATCCGCCCCATTCGACTTCTTACATCTCCATGTGAGGGGGCTTGATCAAAAGACTAGAAGCCGTTGTGGCTCTCCCACATTCAGCGGGTGAGCATCCCAAGAGAAAGCAGTGACAGGAAGGAACGAGCTTGGGCAGGAGGGCTCATCCATCAACAGCCGGTCATCAATTTGCCCGTTCGTCAAGTACTCTGCAGGCTGACCCTGTCCATTCGAACGTCAAAGCATGTTTCAGAGCATAAGACCGCCAAACAGGGGCCCCCCCTCCAAAACCACAAGGTCCACCGGGTCTTGCCTTCCGGATGACCCTCCCATGTCTTCAATCCCTGCTTGGCCCAGCAAGGAGTCCACAGCCGTAGCCGTAGCCGAACCCTCAAAGAAAAACCACACACGCCCAGGACGGCCGAGGAAGGAAGCACTCACCTGCTGATGCTGAAAGCCAGAGTCCCACCCGCGCAGAAGGCAGAAGAGAGACCCAGCGTCCCCCACTCCGCCGGGCCATCCCTGGGAGCCCATCCGCACCACGCCGCACCACGCGACGTCCACCGCGACGTCTGACGCGACGACGAGCCTGGATAGTCGTTGAAAGCAATGAGGTCGCCCAAGTCCAGCGTGACGTCTCGGATCTTGTGCCTTCCGCAGGGGCCGAGCTCGGCCGAGCTCACACGCGGTGCGGAAGTGGGACCCGGCCCCGGTGTCCAGATGGAGGCCAGCGAAGGGCGTGGCGTGCGAGGCCAAGCCGTGGAACATGGGGACCGTTGCCGGGAGAAGACACGAGTCCATCTTGAGGATCGTTAGTCATTCTCTCACGCCAGGAACTCGATCTATAGTGGACTCTGACCATCTACTGACTGGTACTTAGTAGAGAATGAGGGAATGAGCCCCCAATAGAGATTCCTTTGGATCCAGCCACCCTCATTCCCTACTGAGCACCGGTCAGTCTACTACCCCTTTCCTTTGCCTTCTTTTGCCTCACGCCTCTCCGGAGTCCGATCACCTGAACATTCGCTGAACGTCACCATGTCCCTGCCTAGAAGGTCCAGTTCGATATGTTGACTCGTTGAAGTAAAGGAAGCTCCTGTAAACGGGTCACCTAAAGGACCATTTGTATGAACAGTCTTGGACTCCCAGGGTATTGTGGAAGATGAACTGAGAGCCATTCTTGGTCCTATCACCCTCACCCTTCGTACTTCTGCACTTCTCGCCCCGCCGCGGAACACGCCTGGACGCCCAGGCCACCAGCCGTCCCTGCCCCATCTGCCGTGCCAGCTGCGCCAGCCGCGCGAAGGCCGGACGTGCCACTGTGGGCTCGGAGGCGTCCGCCTCGTTGAGGAAGCCGAAGATGATGACCTGCCCGTCCCCGTCGCCGTCGCCGTCGCGACGGGGGGCCCTGAGCCCGGAAGGAGAAGGAACTTGGCTCAGGCCGCGGAGTGCTTTTGAGAAGATAGGACCCCAAAAAGGACAGGAGGTGACGCGAGGCTGATGCTCTGTGTCGTATCATGCCTTCCAAATCCTTTCAGGCGTTCCATCACACAGAAGGAGAATGGATGATCAAGGATGCCAACCACCTGTGCCGGGTCGTTCAAGTGACCGACGACAAGCTGAAGCACTGTCACATCGCAGCTCCCAAATGCGTTTCCAAAAGCGAATTAGAAACGTGAGGTCCTAGTGGCTGATCACCAATTGTTGCTTCTATATGGGACTGGGTCGTTCAACCTGGAGCCCGACCAGTCCACCATTTGCCGCGAACGACGAGTCTCGTTGGTGGGTGAACTTCGGTCAGTATCCTGGTGCCACGACCCACAGCCAGAAAATGCATCGTTCAAGTGTCCACTCGGGGGACTTGAATGAAAGACCAAGAGAGGTTGAGTGACCTGAACTAGGACCCTACTGGGGTACCTATGGGATAGGCTAGTTCGGGTCCTTCAACCTCTGTTGGTACTGCAAGTGCTTCAACCGATCACTCCTCGTGCATGCGTGCGACTACTCGTCGGCAGCCGTTTCACGACTGGCGTTTGGAAGCGACGGTCTCGAGCCACTGATGAGATCGTTGTTGCCGTTCGGAACGGACACAGAATATCTCAGAGAATACCAGGGCTCCCCCTGTTTGGGGTTAATGGACATCCCGAAAAACCTCTAAGGAGCTATAGTTGGACACCCCTTAGCGGGCCCTGGTAGATGGTTCCTTCAAAAGAATGGACAGATGCATGAAGATACGTTCTTTACCAAGAAAGATCCTTTGACCAAGTGTGTAGTGAGAGACATGGGTCTTGCACAAAAAGTGAACCTCGGCAGGCACCCGTTGCAGGATGCAATGAGATACATAAATCCAAACAACTTAAAGTGCAAAAAACGATGATAAAAGGAAGGCTCACTGCCGCAGATTTTGGGATTCCCATCTTTATTGGTGTGTGTGTGTGTGTTTGCACGCCATCTGCTTCTGAAAACCCTTTGGTTTCTTACTGCCTCCACCTTTTTTGGCCTGATATCTCTCAAAGCGCCAGCGGCTTTTTACTCAAATCAAGGGAAAGTGATTTGAAGAAATCCCACACTCACATTGACCGGCTCCTTGAAACTTGAAACCACTCATGGAATGAGAAGAAAAGCGACTATGCTTGGTATTCGGATGGACAATGATCCTCCGAAAATGGTACAAAAGACATCCACGATTGCCATGGACTCCGAGCCGGGCGGAGGGGGAGCATCCGCCCCCCACTCGGACACTCCCCACGAGTCCCGCTGGCTGCCGGTTCGGGGCCAAGGCGCACTTGGATGGTTGGCCGAGGCCTCGATGGTCTCTCGCAACGCCTGCGCCTGCAGCGCCATAAAGACCTGGCCGTTCACCCCGTGAATGACTGGCCATTCCGTTCCCGCCACCGCCACCGGGCAGACCGCCTGCCCTGCCGGTGCATGCCGGACGCCCAGAAAGTCAAACCTGACACTCCGAGAGTGGCCACGCCTGGCGAGATGTGAACGCCACACACCCCACGAGAACCACTGCCACTGCACCATCCTGGTTCACCATACCGCTAGGGCTCCAATTGCATTCTAAGGGGAAAGTGCCATGGTTCGGGTGCAATCATACCGAACCTGAAAAAACCAACGACTGGAGAGCTAGGACGTACTGGGCTCCAAGCCCGACAAACCAGTACCTTTCGATCAAGCCTTTCACTGATGGAACTGCCCCGCCAAGCTGAACGACCCATCTCCAAGCTGCGGGATCCGCCAGGTCTTCGCTGCTCGGCTGCCAGGCGGAGGTCTCCTCGGGGGCCAGGGCGTGGTGGGCGGAGGTCTCCGCGGTGGGTTCAAACAGGTCAACCATTCAAAGGTCACAAGCAAAAGAGTGGGTATGGTGTGGCTCATTCATCAGAAGGCTTTAACAAAGGACTGCATCTTCCGGGGTTTGGGAAACACCTGTGGTGCTTTCGACTGTATCTTGCCGCGGCTTGCTCTTCTGCCCGACGACGCCGGCGCGACGAAACAGGCTCCTCCCAGACCAAGATGCCATTCTCGTCGCACAAATCCAAGAAGCGCTGGTCCTGGCTGTAGTGCGCGCCCCGCACGAAGTTCGCGTTCAGCTCGAGCAGCAGCTGGATGTCCTCCTGAAAAGTGACAGGATGGGACGGCACATCCAGAGATGCAGCGGATCCCAAACGGGATCCCAAGGGAATCCCTTCAACGGGTACGGTTCCAGGGTGGGTTCAGTCACTGTCACAGGTCACCACCACCAAAATGCCCACCCTTCCTCCGGCCGCGCGGAGCGGGACAGTGGTGTTCCACGCCACGCCGCGCCTGCAGCTCAGCCCAGGGTCGGTGGAGGCCGCCCCAGACCCACGACTCATGGCGATTCACGCCGCGCAGCTGCAGCGGCGCGCCGTTGAGCCAGAGCTGCTGCTCCTTGGCCTCCAACCAGCGGAGCCCGAAGCGCACCGTGATGGCATCCACCTTGGGCGGTGACCGCCGGCACAGGGGGAGACGTGAAAAAGGGTGTGGAAAGCTTAAAGATGACTCAATCCCCCAAACCAACTACATCAAAATAATCATATCTTCAGCTTTTGCCCATCACCCCCACCTGTCGCCCATCCAGCATCAGCTGCACCATCAGCATCTGCAGCTCTGGCCGTTCCGAGGTCCAAACGCCGGCGCCCGGGCCCAGCGTCTCCAGCCACGCAGCTGACTGCGCCACTCGTGCAGACGGCGCGGTAGGTGTGGACGTCGCGCCAAGGCAGTCGAGGCGCCGCTCGCGGGGCGTTTCAAGGCCGCTGAAGTGGAGACGCGCAAGTAGAGTGCCTGGAGTTGGTGTAGGTGAGGTGAAGTGGTCAGATGTGATCGAGAATAATGCCCCTTACTCCAAGATCCTATTTTCTTCAGCAAACTTCATTTCTAGCGCCTGGAAGTGACTTCAGGCTGGACGAAGTGCCTGAACCCCATCGATGGAAAATGCCTTCCACGTGGTTGCCCAAGGCCAATCCTCCACGCGGCCCAAGGGCGAGACTTGGATCGACCCAGGGCCTTCTGCCCCTGAAGGGTGGTGAACTCTACCCGACTTCCACGAAACGCCTCAGCCCGATGGCCACCCAGGCGCGATGGCCGCTCTCGCACCCGCCTCCAGACTCGCAGCCCAGGATGTCAAGAGAGACCTGTGCGAAACTTCTTCAGATGTCACCCGTCTCTGAGCTCCCCAGCTCTGAGTGAGGTGCGCAATCCAACAAAGAGACCCCCTGATTGAAAATTGAGTTTAAACCTGTTCTTGAGGGGTTCCGCATTCCACCTTAGATGGAAAAATGACATAGGTGAACTGGAGCTTTCGTGCTGACAATGTGGCTGCTGGGGTGCAGTATTGGCATTGGGCCCCTAGCAAGTGGATTCTGGCGCTTTGTACGTGTCAATCAACATGGCACGCAAGTTATTCATGCAACACACCTGTCAGAGTTGCTACAGTCAAAAATGGCGAGGAAGACACCCTGATGCTGGTGAGGAATAGAAGAATAGAAGCAATGCCTAGTCCGCTCCAGGCAGAGTGAAGCTCAACATCCAGCAAGATTGTGAACATGCGAGTGTGCTTTAGAGGGAGACCCCCGTGGCTTAATGAGCAATAATGGGTATAGATTATGTCCCCTCACCAGCAGCAGTGGCAGGGGTATGTCCACAGGGGTGTGGCTGAACAAGCAAAAACTAAGGGACCGGCGCGGACAGTTCACCACACTGACTATAGGACGTGTACGTCGTGCAATCGAGCCCCAAAGCAAAGAGGAGGGCACTGCTCAAACGGCAATACAAACAGCACATGAAGGGCAAAAACAAGCACAAGCACTGGCAGTACGTCAAATCTCCTTCCCATAATCAGCTCTGCAACTAGCAATGCAGTATGTCACTGTCACTGATGCTCGCCAAATAAAAAGAATGGATTCGCCGATTCACTTTCTATGAGCGTCACCGGATCACCTGAGCGTCACCCGTCTTGCGTCACCCACCCGCCCACCATCCGCGCCAGCACGTGGGTGACACTCTTCGGCTCCACCGCAAGATGTCGAATACGCACCGAGGACTCCTCCAAACGATGTGCCTCGCAGGGCAGCACCCCGCTGTACGTTGGGCAGTCGGTTTGGGCAGTCGGTTTGGGCTGTGTGTGTGTGTGCGCCAAACGAGCGCCAGAGCTTCAGCTGGGGTGGATCTGGCCTACTCCGCGAAAACAGTGAATGCCGCCCTTCCGGCCCCCCACACCCCTCCCAAAAGGGTGTGTATATAAGTTCCGTAGCTGCAGGGTGTTGACTTGCTTGCTAGGTTCTGCATTGGGAGCCCTGCTGCTTTAAGACCCAGCCGCCCCCCCCAACAGCCGGCCTCCACCGGTCTCAGTATTCCGCCGGGCTGCAGCCAATCGAAGTGCAAGCGCTGCAACGTGCCTCACGACAGGCGGCCCGCGCACGCGTGGGCGCAGGCAGCGAGACTGACTGGGAGGTTCGTGAGCGGTCTGGAGAAGGTGATGTATGGTGAGGCTGAGAAACTGGAACGGCTCCAGAATCTCAAAGACCTATGATGCTGTGGCAAACACTCCCATGTTCATCACCCACCACCTGAGATGGTGTCAAAAAGTTTCAAACATCTCAGAAGACTTAGATAAGCATGATTCAACTGCTCGCCACGCCCAGCAACGCCCAGCACCAGTAGGTTTGCCGTTCGAGTCCGGCGATGGGATGCGGCGGCCGTCCGTGGATTCCAAACAAGAGGTCACTCAGGTTCAAAGCCCACCTTTGCGGGTTCGGAGGTTTGCTTCTCCCCGTAAACGGGAAAAACCCATGAGAAAAGCCCTCAGGCTGCCGAAAGCCTAAGAAATGCCAGATGTCCAATGCACCATTTGAGGTCAAGAATATCTCCATGATCCCAATTGCTGGCACACCTTCCGTGCTCGCAGAAAGGAACTCAATGGCACAAGAGGATCATAGCTGAAGCGTTGGGATCTCCAGCCAGTGGAGGCTGGATCCCAGCTGCCCCTATCCTTCCAAGCAGCCGAAGCGGCTGTCTGCCAGCACCAGGAGTTCCTTGGAGAACCAGCAGGGTGGGACCTCTCCAACTCCAAAGGATGACCCGGTTAGGAACCGTTTTGGGCTTCGGAGCCGCGACAACCGCTCTCTCCCCTGCAAAGCGGGCGACCTGCGCGACCTGAACGCCCTTGTTGCTTCTGGATGGGTTCTTCTTCGCGCAGCTCGGCTGACCGGCTTCCAAGCTCCACGCCACGTTCGGGCGCGGCGGCGTGCGGGCCCCGATTTGGCCTTCTTTGTGCCATCCGGTGCCCTTTCTCCTAGCTTCCTTGCCTGACCCCGTCCGAAGACCCCCCCCCAACCGACTCCACCGATCCCATCTCCGATCCCATCTCTGACCCCGATCTCGCTCCAACTGCTCCGGGCGGCGCGTGGGGCCCGCGGTCCGGAGGGCCAAGGGAGGCCTGACCGAAACTCAGCGGTTGGGCGGAAAGAATTCGGAAAGATGAGTGTGGCTCGTCCCATCCAGTGGATGTGACAGGGGCACCCCGACGACTCATTTTCATGGAGAGCACGGCTGGGCGACATGTGACTGCTGGTATAAGTTCATGGGTTGGGGATAGATCATTAGGAAGATGCCAAGTATTTTCATGGATTGGTGACAGATAATTCACGGTTTTGTGGAAGTGTTGGCCAATTGAAACGAACTCATCGGTCCAGACAGCTGGATGGAAGGGCGTGAGGTGCAAGCCAGGTTCTGGCGCTTCAAGGTCTAAAATATAGAATTTACAATAAGGCAGACTTAGACAGGGCTATTACAAAGACATTGACACATTATATTTATTCATTTAAAACTAAACCGACTAAACCTATATTAAGCCAGGTTCTGGCGAGTCTTTAAAAACGCCGCAATTCCACAAGTCAAACTGCCAAGGACACAGCACGAAAAAAGGGAAGATCACAGCATGCCATAGACTGAAGATGGCGGGCACGGGTCTTCTCAGAGAGGCAGCTGCAGTGGACTGACGTCCCCGCTAGTCCAGAAGACTCGAATCAAACCGTCGGTGGGGCAACCACTCACTTCACCCTCTTTACGTGCCAAACGGCTCAAAACAGCTGTATATGAACGGCTCAAACCCCTGCGCGCGGAGCCTGCCTGCCAGATCCACCCAAAAGGGGCTATAGCTCCCTTCATGCCTCAAGGAGCCAAGGTGGCTGGGGTCTGCAGCACCGGCGGAGGAAGCATGGCGGTTGTTTTGGAATGGTTTCCACGTGATTCATGCGGCACGGCTTTCAGTCAGGGCGTCAGCGCGCACCGAAGCGGAAAGCCTCCCAAAATGCTGTGTGATCAGTGCCTTTACGGCGCCCAGATGCTGAGGATTGTTCCTTGAACCAGCCGGTCCCTTGAACCAGCAGTGGAAGTTGATCGGGTAGTTGTTTAGACTTCGAGGGAAGACTCCCAACTCCCACCAAAACGAGGCCGAATTGTTTCATGAACGAAGGCCCAGCAAGCTGAGTCCAGGTCGAACTGTGGTCTGGCCCACCCTATCTGTTCAAGGAGGGCATGCTTTACCTGTCGGTCGGTCGCATGTCGTGCTGCGCTCCCCAGATCTACGCCCCAAGCAGCCCTCCTCCGTCCAACCGCTTCGCCCAGGCGGCTCCGCGACCGACGTGCGGTCCAGGAGGACGGCACAGCGAAGGCCGCAGCCGCGGAAGTGCAAGAGGCTCACCTGCCGGCGCGCGCCGGACAGCGGACGTGCTTCGGTCCCCTGGCTCCCATTGGGGGAAGGGAAGGGTGGGGACCTGAAGATCGAAGAAGAGATCCCCTGAAGTGCCAAGGTGTCAAGAAGAAATGCCTCTGAAATGAGTGACCTCCCAGAAGAAGGGTTCCAAAACAACATGGAAGAAATGTCCTGAACCCACTGTAGACACCTGAGATTTAAAAATATGATGAACATGCATCTGCCAGCCTCCTTCTGGTGAAAGAAGAAGCACCCTGCCCCCCCTGCCCTCCTCCTAACGACTCCTCCTAACGACTCCTCCTAACGACTCCCACCTCCGACCTCCGGCCCATCCATGGATGGCCATCCATCCGTGCCTCGGGCTCCAGGTAGATCCGGTAGGCCGCCACGCCACGGCGTCCAAGTCCCACCTGCCCCGAGGGACCGGGGTCGACCGCGGCGTCTTAGTTACTGGTCCGTCATGCCAGCTACGGTCGTAGCTTCTAGAGTTGCTGGTAGCTGCTGGCCTCCGGAATATGTCTCAGACCCTAGGCTTCCAAGACCATTCAAAGAAAGGTTGACCTGGTTGCGTAAAGGCCGTTAAAACAATGGTTGTTGGAAGCCTAGGGTCAGAGCCTATTTGTTTAAGGATCCGATCGGCCCCGAGACGCCATGGGCTTGAGACACAGATCGGTGACGGTTTCGCTGAGGGAGATCGGGTGAGCTTGTCTTGAGATCTGCACTCAATGTGACGTCGAAGTTGCACTAACGCACGCGTTAGAGTTCACGAGGTGGTGAAAATCGGGAGAGTTCGAGACTTTGTCTTGAGATGACTTCAGATTCCTTTGATCTCACCACTTCCTCAGAAAGGCCAAGAGCCTCTGCCCGTGTTTCGGGTCCCCCTCCACGCCGGATCGCAGCACTGCGGCAGCGCCCGGTCGCAGCTAGGCTCTGCGCTCCCAGTGCGCAAGGCATGGCAGCAGCGGTGGCAGGGGTGGGTCGGCCATTGAGGACACTGCTGCAGTGGGCACAGCCACTCCCTAGGGCAGAGTGGACATATTCCATGCAAAAGAGACCACGCAGGATTCGCTGTGGCGAATCGAATTGCGTACCCCCATTCTACCAACAACCATCAGCAATGGACAAGGGGCCTATGTTGAAGCAGCCGGACCGACTGGAAGTGCGTGACCAGTTTTCTAAGAAAGCTGGTGATGTAGTCGTGTGTAGAGCTCCGGTGGAAAACTGATTGAACAAAAAAATAGTAAAACAGTTATTTAAACAACAACATAGTTTCAACACCACTCGGAAACCCGCAAACCCGTCCGCATGCGTCCACCCGCAACGTCCGCCCGCCCGCCCGCCTGTCGTTGAAGGCGTCCGGCACGAGGCGCGTCCCTTGGAACTCCTCTTCGCGGATGAAGGCGCCCGCCGCCAACGGCACGTCGCCCAGATACGCGAAGTCCCAAGGGCCTGGCACCGTTCGAGGTCGAGGCTCGGTCCGCTATCAGAAGTGGTAGGTTAGGTTCAGGGCCGGTATTGGCGCTAGCCCTATAAGCAAAATCTTTCATGGCGCTCGGGCACTTTTCTGTTTCAACACCACGCCTTCTGGCAGCGCTCCCATGAACGCCTTTCAGACGCTTCACTCCACTTCACACACGAAAAAAACGATATATAAGGCAACATCTCAAATACATGAACCGTCACCCCGTGTCCTTCAGGCCCCAATTCTTCCGCCCCACCCACCCGCTCGGTCCTTTCGGCCCCTCCTGCCTTCCAGCGTGACCACGCGGCGCCCGGGGTAGTGTGGATACGGCGGGCGCTCGGCCGGACTCGCCGATGCCAGGAGTGTGAAGAAGGGCAGCGCGGCTCCGCGCATGGCGCGGAAGAACGCCCCACATGTCGCGAGGATTCTTCGAGGCGAGTGGATGGTTCTTCCAGCGTGCCTAAAGAAGTGTAGTAGAAGTAAGGGGTTGATTCAAGGGCTTACACTGCGAATTTCTTTGAAGCAAGAGATTGGAGGACCTTGGCTCACTGATGCTTCTATGCTTTTCATCTTCGGAAACGCTGGTGGCCTAAGTGGCGCCAAGTGCCAAGTGGATCCACTGAGTGTGGCGGCACCAATGGCCGATGTCATGCCCGAGGTTCATGAGGGAAAAAAACATCCCTCCAAAACACTCAGAATGAACGTTTTGTTGCCCAATCCCACCAGAAACCCGAAAGTTTTGCTACTGCCTCCTTACTCGTCCTTTTGATCAAGGCTCATGGAACTCTCAGATCCTGCGGGCTTGTGTCGAGGATCTTGGGCTGCTATTCATCCCAGGCTGAGGCCCAAAGCTGCCACGGGCAAGAAGAAATCACAGCTCCTGGTTCTTCAATTAAGCTCCCCCTTGGGAGACTTAGGAACCTTCAAAAGGTCACACACTGAAGAAGCTGGGCAGCGCCCACAGATGTTGCACAGATTTACCATCCTGCCACATATGATGAGCAGAAGCTGTTTGGGCGCCTGCCAAGTTGGGGTATCATTACTTCTGTGGGGTATCCTGCCAAGTTGGCTTCTCAGATTTCACCCATGTCTGGCGATTTCACCGGCTCTTCTGAATGTAGAGTGTTGCACGTTCTTCCCTATCACAGCCGTATTGTGCTGGCTTGAATCCCGTCACCCATACCTGTGATCCAAAAGACTGTCACGCCAGCCCGAGGCCGCGATCCTGCGAGTCCGTGCAAAATCGACCAGAAGGGTGCCCCGGTCCACCTCCTTCCGCCCGTAAAACGGACTGGACCGGACTGCCAGGAGTCCTTCGCCCCGGAAAGCCTTCCGGCCACCCCCCCTCGGGAGATCCAGCCGCCCGGACCCCCCAGGCGGCGAAGCCAGACCGACTGCCGCCCGCCATGGGACCGTCCGGACCGGCACCGGGCGCCAGGCACGTTCTTCCACCACCAACTTGATGAACTCTTTGGTCACATCGTCCTCCGTGCCACACGGCCGCTTCAACGGCACAGCATGGCAGCTATAGAGGAAACTCAGCATCACGGCATCACGAGTCAGGGAACTCAGCAACTGAGCAACTTCGATGCGAGGAGCTCAAGGAAAAATGGGTGGACAACTGGCTCGGTGTTTTGAAACGTTGGGATTGAACTCCTCCGGCAGGTGGACCATGGTGTAACTCACACCTGTTTTCGGAGGGCCTTGGGCGGCCTTGGTGGCACTCGTCTGGTGATCATCGGACTTCTTGGCCCCATGTAAGGAATGGATGGGTTCTAGTGCCACGTGTGCTCCAAAACCATCCAAAACCCCATCCTCTTCGGAAATGTCGTTCACTGGAATCTGATGAAGCTGATGACCGCCACCACTTCAATGATGGATTGGAAATTTCCTCAATCCCACCACACTCACTTCAGTTTCGCCCCACTTCTTGTCTTCCCATGATCAAGTGATCAAGTGGATGGCGCGTCCCAAATATCTACGCCGATTTCGGCTTCACCCCCCCCCCCCTCAGTCTTTCACCGGCCCCCCACCGGTTGTTCGATGCTTTGATATGCTTCGACGCTTCGCTGCGCTTCGGCGCACCAGGACGAACTTCAGAGGCTCAAAGAACATCACGGGGTTCTCCTGCCACGCGGTTCTCCACGGGGGAACGCGGTTCTCGGCGGTTGGGGGGGGGGGAACGCGAAGCACCCGTTGTTGACACAGGCGGTCGACGTGATGTTTTTTCAAGGAGGAGCAGGGATTTGGGGACAAAAGGATGTTGCTGTTGTTGCTGTTGTGTTTGAACGGTCTTGACATGTGCAGGTATAGATCGGTATAGTGTTTTAAACTGCGCTGAGACCTTCCGGACTTCTAACGCGGGATCCAGGACTCCAATTCTTTTTGGATCCCGTGTGGCCGCCTTGGTTTTTTCTAGACGATCTTGGTGGAGCTAGCTGGCTCTGCGCGTGTCACTGTGAACCCCATGATGCGAGTCGTCCAGGGGCAAGCACCACCATCACCTCGGCGGCGTGGATCGCGGAGATCCGTCCTGGAGGTCATGCAGTATGAGCTGCTTCTCATAGCTCAGGCTACCTCGGTGGGAGCGGCCGAGCTGAGCTGATGGCCGCTCCAAAAGCATCAGCATCCAACGGTCCATTCAGCCTCATTCACCGAGGCTTGGCATCCTGGGGATCCAGAGGTCCCCGCAACATCGCTCGGAACGGAAACCGCTGCGTTCGCCATGGGAAGACCGGTGGATCGGAGAATCCCTGCACAGGTGGGGTTGGGGGTTCCATGGCAGCTGAAGAACTTCATAGAACTTGGGGGGCAAGGAGCACCCATCAAGTTTTCCGAGACTTCCTGTCACTTCCGGAAGAAATAGAAAAAATCCAGAACTATAGGTGCATCTCACACCTGCAACTCGGAAGAACCGCGAACGGACACTCCGCGAGCTGAACCCCCGAACCGCATCACTTCGAACTTCCGCGAACGGCTCGCGGACCTGCGGACCTACCACCCTTAGAGTTCTTGATCTTCTCTGAACCCCCCATGACTGGGCTCTCCAGGCGCTGCTTGTCGCGGTGTGAGGTCAGTTCCCTCAAGTAATCGCGGCCTCTGGGCCAAGTCGCGTCACGCACAGAGGGATCCACCCACCCCGAAGCCGGAGCTGGTGGCTTTTTTCCCTAGACACTCCAACTCTTCTTCTTCAGAGAAAGGCAGTAAAGAAACTCAGAATGACCGCCTTGACTTACTTGTTGTCACCAGGTGGGGTGGTGTATTCCCAATGCGTGGTTCGTTCTGTCCGTTCTGTGTCTCACCCAGGTGCTTCATTCGAACGACCTACCTGGCAGCTAGGCTGCAAGCGGAAAACAGGTCTTGGGAACAATTGCAGTTGGCAAATTGATGCACAGAAAGAGTGTCAACCGGAATCACTTCTCTACTCTATCTATGGATGGATGACAAATAAACAACAATAAACAGGCATGAGCATGATTGTGTGTGGGTGTCGACATGGACCACGTCTGCCGCATGCTCTTCAGCTTCTTCACATGAATTACACATTCGAAGAGTTTGGACAAGCACTGCTATGCTCGTGCTTAAAGCCCGTCACAAAGACGATGGAGTGCACCCACCCGGGAACATTCAGCCAGCATTGGGGAGCCCCCACGCATCGTGTTCAGCTTTTTGCTGAGCCTCAACTTGTCTCGAAGGAGTCGGCGTCCGTGTGGGACACAAAAATACTATAAATATTGCCCAAATGTTAATTTGGATATATCATATCTTCGAAAGAATTGAAAATTCCATAATACTGCTTGATGCCGTGTCTTTTTCTGCAATCCCTTAGCGCAATTAGTGTCTCTGGGGGCCTGCCACACCGCTTTGGTGGACTACTCCACCAAATAAGAAGATGAATCCGGCCCGAGTGCCAAAACCTGAAGAATTCCTGAAAGACAAAGTCAGTTGAAAGTGTCAAACCTCAGTATAACATGACCTCCGCCGCTACTTGGAGCAGAGGCTTGCTGCTTTTGCTGGAAGACAAGTCTGGCCCCGTCGGCGGATTCTGCACGAAACACCAATGGAAGCCACAGCGCCACAGCTTCTACATGATTCGACCACCTGGACAACTCCTGTCCCAACGGAGGCAGCTCGCTTCGCATACATCTACATCTACGTAATTACACAAGTCCAGTCTGACCGGTAAAACCTGGTCTTTGACTTCCTTGAGTAGTGTGAACTTGCATGACCAACTCCTGTAAAAGTGAGGTCCAGCTGACCATGTAGGGTCTCGCAGTGAAAACTCCTGTCCCTTCCGAAGCCAGGCCACTCCATATTGGTCTGTACCAACATCTTCACCTGACTCAACGGCTCCTGAGGGATGAGTCGACGTCCGTGGTTTTTGCTGTTTCTTGTTTTTTCGCTGGGCCCAAGTCGATGTGAGTCAGTGCAACGCATGATATACGGTATAGCTATTCGATCTTTAAAAAAGGCAAAGCCAGCTTTTTCCGGATAAACCTACACTCCCGAAAACTAACATGGACCCGGGTCGAATGGCGCCCCTCAACGACGATGTTTCTCTTCCTAGCAGTGGGTTTTCAGGGTCTATGTTAGTTACTGTTAGTTGTCAGCAGGATTTATGTGTGTCAGTGGGCTCACCATCTATTGGAATCAGATCCGGGACCTCCCTGTCACCTAAGCTGGTGAGTCCATGCAGTGCCCCTGAGCTCTGCAGCCCCAAATTGCTAAGCACGCTGGTCCCCTGAACACACTGTTGCAAAAAAATCCTTAAATCGACAGCTTTGTTCACTGGAGCAGGCAGGGTGACCTTGGCACAGATTTGGCCAACGATCTGGCCCGAACCACGCCCTGGCAAAAGGTTTCCCCACTTGTTTGGAGCCCACCTCAAAACACCCACCTCCACCCCAGTTAAAGCCAAGATCTCTGCAACACCTCGACCACGAAATGAAAAAGAATAACCAACACCCCTCTCAATGTCTAAACAGGGGCCCTCTGCATCTTTCCTGACTTGGCCTCTGAATTGATGCACTTCTGAATGGGGTGGACACATCCCATGCGATGTCCGCAGTCCAGATGCTGCCATTTCGCTCCTTCTGGGTCCGCACCCCGTCACCCCGTCCTTCACACCCCGTCACTCCGTCCTTCTCCCAAGGAAGAAGGACGAATTCCGACAGGTCCGAAACCATCCCAAGCGGCGCCCGTCGCTCGGTTCGCCTCCCTGCGGGGCACACGTGGAGGGACCCCGTGGGACCGACGTAACCCGGGTCCTTTGGCACGGGCAAGTTGTTGGCCGCGGTGTCATCCAGGATGAGCACCGAGTGAAGGATGTGTCCCGTCACCTGGGGTGGGAAGCAACGAAGGTGTCGGTGGTCTGCTCGCTCGAAAGAGGGTGGAAGGCACTGGAAGGCATTGGGGGCAGGGCACATGGAAGGCTTCAGAAGGAATCTCCCACCCAGGGGAATCCAGTGAAAAGGCAATGAAGAGGTGAACACCCCCCCCACTCATCTTGGGGCCCTTCAAACGAAGGCCGGCTTTCTTGACCAGCGGGTCGTGAAAGCTGTTCGTTAGTGAGTTGAAACTCGTCGATATATTGGGCATGAGGTGTTGAAATGTCCTCTCTCACTATCAGCTGATGAAGGACGTAAAGATCTTAAAGGGATCAGTGGATTTGAGCGGGCAGTTGACTTGCTGTCTGCACCGAAAGGTGGCCAAGAAACAAATAGAGCTCCTTATGGTCCAGCCCAACATGTACTCCCCTGTTTCTTTCAGTTGTCATTCTTCAATTCTTCGCATCTCCTCCGAAAACCGCCATCCTTTGAGCTCCAAAAGCCTCAGCCCAAAGCTCTGCGGTGACCCGCTCTGGGCCCACCGGGCGCGCCAGGACAACTCACAAAGCGGCTCGTAGAAGGAGTTGGGCCTCGGCCGGGCGCGGTCCGGGCGCGGTCCGGGCGCGCGTTGCGGCTGGACGCCTACGGTCCGTGGGTGCGGATAGTGGGCGGGGCGGGTGGAGGCCGAGCGTTGAGGGCTTTAGTGCTTGAGCTGGGGGGGATGGGCGTGAAGGGAGGGGTTCGTTCGATGGGTTCCTTCGATGTTTGGTTGGAGTGGTGGATGGTGATCTCGCCTCTTTTTCTTTGGGGTCTCGAAGGGGATGTGATTCATCTGTCAAAGAATTCCCCCCCACAGCCTAGTGAGACTCATACGAACCAGCTGATAACATCATCCGGGGGCACACCAAGACTTGGCCAAAGTCCACGAGATCGGGACTGCAAAATACATTGCATCTGGACATATGCAATTGAAGCCACTTGAAATGTTGGAGCCCACTGCAACGTCAAGCCGATCCACCACACCACCCCATCCACTCCATCCACCACCCTCATCACCAGCAGCCCTTGCACCGCTCCCTTTTCACTCTTACACCACCTCCGGAGAGGACCACCTGCGGCGCGGCGAGCCGCAAGGTCCGGGACGGGCCCAGCCACCTCCTGCACGCGCCGCGCAAAAATCCTCGGTCCGACCCCCCGTGCGAGTGGTGAATGAGTAGCTCGAAGCCGGACCTTGAGAATCGTCCCATCCCAGAATCAGAAGTCAAGAAGGTGCCTGAAGATGGTATATGCATGTATATGTGTTCCTTTGCATCCTTTGCCCTGTTTGGCGGATTGTCTGACGTCACTGTTGCTGGGCCTCCTGTTACCAAACTGTACTCTTCTGTCAATTGGGCTGGTGTTTTTCATATGGTGTTTGTCTTTGGAATTGGATCCGTTGGGCCATTGGGTAGAAGAAGGCACTCTTCCAGAAGCTGTTGACCGCATCAGAGCCACCCTCCTCCGCCTCGTCCGGCCAGATCTTCTGCCACCGCCTTCCCATGACACTCACAAAGTCCGACTGAAGGAAGTCGTGGAAACATGCAAAACAGCCATATACTCTGGTCTGTCAACTTCACAGTGCTGAGAGAAATCCCCCCCGAACGCTTGAGATTCGTCCAACACACCACTATGGGAGCTCCTGTAGTGCCCCATAAAGGGAGTCTTGAGCATTCCGGATGATCTCGTCAGCGAGTAGCCTCGTGACCAAACGTGCTCCCAGAACCTTCGACCACTGAGGAAGGCGTCTCGCCAGGCAAGGGGAGCCCTTTCCAAAACTTATAGGTCCAGTCCCAGCTGTCTCAAGGTGGGGGGAAGAGCGCACCCTTCGTATGGATGTTGAAACTCGGACACCCCCACCAAAACCCCCTATCAACTGTCACTCTGGGGTTGACAAGTAGGCTTCTGGGGCCTTTTGGGCTCATCACTCATGTTGAAGTCCAATCTTCAGTTCCACCGGAAGATTGAAACCTGTTGCCCACACCACGCGCCTCGCCTCTGGCAAAAAGAATGTGGGCACCTCCACCTCACAACTCTACGTCAACGTCCTCCATGTCGAGCTCTCACTCCTCTTGGGGTCGTCCATCACGATAGTAGCCCAAGCCTGCAGGGAGGTGTCTGGCTGTGGAAAACCGCGCCGCCGGGTTCAACCGGTTCTTCCGCCGGGTTCAGCCGATTCTTCCCCACCAGGCTGAAGAAGGCCAAAGTGGATGAACTACGAGGCCAAACAGGATCCGAAATCATCATCTCTTATGAAGATGTTTAGCTAGGCCTGTCTCCAAGATGTCAGAAGTGGAGTCTGGTGGAAAAAAGAGCATGATCAACACCTACAGTAACAGGAACCTCTGAAGGAAATTCAGTGTTTTGGTTTAAATATGTTTTAAAAGAATCCATCTCCTGTTGTCTCCTCGACCTGACGAAAACACCAAAACGCTCACCTTGAACCCCGTGGGCCTCCCCCCCTGCCTCGGTGGTCCAGCTTGAACACCCAGCCTTGCGCATGGGCGCCAGTCAGTCAGAAGAAATCAACACAGCGAGGAACGATCACAGTGGCTCCCTCCACATGGAATGTAGCATGACTTTGTTCATGGAGCTCCGAAGTGGTTGTTGACTTCCTTTAGCACTTGCCATGTAAAATGGTCCCCCAAATTGATAGAATCGGATTCCAATACATATCTTTGGTAGGGATCTATTTTAGATCTATTTGGGAGTCTGCAACATCATATGTGGCCGCAGCTTTGGTGAAGTGCTTGGGTTGGGACTTGGGGCTATGATCCTTTGGAAGACTGTCATCGTTTTGCTTCGGTTGGGAATTTGCCTCCAAAGCACAGTCACTACAGTTTCAGGGGGTCCGATGGCACGAAGTACTACGTGTCTTGCAGATGGAGGTCCATACAAACCACCTACCTTTTGGGGATTGTCCCACCTGCTCCCCATCCACTATAACATACTATAACCAGATTTCATCACAGATCGACACCTTCGACCCTACCTGACTCACCTCCCGCCCCCAGCGCTGCGACACCTGGCCGCTCACCGGCAAAAGCTTTGCTCGCTGAGAAGTCCTCGTCCAAATACCTCAGGAGATCGGACCATCTCGGACGAAGCCCAGCGCCCTGCGCGCCGTGCGAGCGCCCCGTGCGTGCCGTGCCATGCCACACGCAGACCAAGAGTCGGACCTCGGCAAAGGCCTGACCTGGAGGAATTCGCGTTGAAAAATCCTCCCTCTTCACCACTTCTCGAGGCGACGCTTGAAATCGAACATGTGGGGGGAAAGAAGCTTCCGGTTCGCCGCTTTTTGGGCATGGCTTTGGGCGGGCGCGAAGCTTCCGGTTCCGTTCACTGAACCGTCCCAAACGGTGCCGCGGGCGCAGAGACTCCACCAGACCAGCAGAGACTCGGTAGGGCAACTCCAAGGGCCCCGTGACAGGCCATAGAAGAGAAGGCACAGGTTATCCCCCAGACCATAACCATTCCAATTGACACACATGGGTTCCCCGGCTAAAAGGTTAAACAGGTGGGTCATCCAAGTAAGTTGGAACAAAAACGAGATGTCTCAGATTCTCTTTTTTCCCGACTTCCTCCGAGCCGCAGCCGCTTCACTGGGGCAGGCGGTGGAAGCAACATCGCCTCAAACCGAGGCTTGGCGAACCAGTAGAAGCCTCGGAGTTCGGAGGCTGGCAGTGGAGGTGCGGCAAAACTCACTGGTACTTCAATGGCATTCCCTCATTCTCAATGACCAACAGCACCACCAGTGAGAACATGTTTCTGCCTCATCCCTCAAAGCTAAGCAGGTTTTGAGCACCCCATCGATGAAAAGTCTCCCACAAAACTTGTGCTCCACTTCCACAGTTGTCTAAAAATTTTCGGGCACAGGCGCCAACAAACAGCTGCTTGGGAGTGGTGTTCTCCACCTTCTGTAGCTGCAACTTCTATTGTTCAACTCGATGTCCCGGAGGATGGTTCCCGACAGCTTCAGCTTCCCCACGCCTCACTTCGTCCATCTTCCCCACGAATCCCGTACCAGGACTCTTTTCGTTGAGATCTAATTCCTGACACCCACCCCAAATCGTTGCTTTCAAAGGCCATTTAGGACCACAATTGAAACTATATTATATATGTGTTTTTCGTTGTCCGCTTCACCTCGGATTCTTCCTCCTTCTTGAGTTGGAAGGCAGCGCATGGGCTTCAAAAGCATAGAAACGCTGTATAGGTCAGCAACCCTGGAGATATATAATGGTTTCAGAGTAGATGGCACAAGTTATATGGACCCCCATCTAAAAAGCCTCTTGGGGGTTGTGCCATCTACTCTTCGTAAGTGTCACCCATCGGGAACCCCATAATTTGTGCGTTTTCCCGAGGAGCCGAGGGCCATGGTGCCCGTGCAAACGACGCCAAAGATCTTGGAGGCCTACCAGCTGGTGAGGGCTGGGCGCACCCGGTGCCCTAGCCCTGAAGCAGCAGGATATAGAGGAACTGGCACATGGAAAAAAAGGCCTTCTTCTTCGCTACTTCTCCAGCACGCCAATCGAAAAAATTTAGCAAGCTAAAGCTTAAAGCATGTAGATGTATGTATTGGTGTCCAATTGAAGCATCCCAGCTTCAGAGTGTTCTGCACTAATTCTCATGCTGCCTCTTTGCCCACCCTGCCCAAAGCTGTCAGATTTCCCACCTGCCCTGGAGCGCCCGCCATGGCGGCCCGTCGCGCAACTGCTACCGGCGACGGCACGGCCGTGAGGCCCTTGGAGCCCAAGGGGCACTGAGAACCTGGTGATCCCCCGTGGCTGGGCCGTCCGAAATGATTCTGGCCACGCCTGATGTGTGGTCAAAACTCCTGATGTTCAGGACGCGTCATATCCTGCTTGTCATCACGGGCCCTGCTGGGGGTTACTCCAGTGCAGATGGATTACCATTAAAAAAATTACCCAGGATACACTCCCTGACAAACATGGAAATGGAGTTCACCAGCTGTTTGGCCATTGGATTTTATGGTACTTCCCTGAGAGGCAACAGCCGCTCCTTGAGGCACCACTGACTGCCCCCGATCTGAGCCGCCCGGACGGCAGAGGACCTTGAGAGCTCACCATCCTGAGCTGATGGGGGAAGTGATGTCTGACACCTAGTTCTTTTCTGGAGGATCTCTATGAATTCTACTATTTTTAGGGCTCCAGGCAATTACTTCCTCAGAAGGTATGACTGGACCCTCGAAACCCACTCCCATCCCACCTCCTTAGAATGCACGACTGGAGCCCTAGGCCCTCGGGGATGTGATAACTGTGATCGTAGCTTAGTCTTGTGACAAGTCCCCACCAAAAAGTTACATAGCTGATCCCGATTGGGCAGCCAAACCAGTACCACCTCCCAAATGCCTCCGATTCGTCCGGCGGCCGGCGTCATTCTACACCCTGATCCTGCCCCCGGGCGTGCTTTTCACCCCAAAAACCGATGACCTCTCGCGAGGTCTAATGAGTCCAGTGATCCACCTTCTTGAGATGGAATGGGCGTGCATTGATGGGAAATCCGTACATGTATGTTACATACAGTCCTAACAGGTGCCCCCATGCGTTAGCAAGGGCCACGTTCTGTGAGCTTTTGAGTGGGTCAACTGATTATCATGCTTCAAATGTCTAGAAGAGAACCTCTCTGAAAGCCTCACCCTTCACTGAGCTTGCTTCCGTCCAGGTGGGGGTCCAAGCAGCAGGCTTCTTCAATTTTCGTCACCCCCCTCAGCCTTCACATCCTCAAAACCTATTGTTCAACTCGTGCTGCCCTCGATCCAAGGAATCAACTTCAGAAGAACGTCCAGCTTTCACACACACCCTGGTGCGAGGGAACAACCTCCAACGAACCGCCTTCGGGAGCCTCTCATTCCCGGGGCCACCCCACCTGGCGCGGAGCCGCTTCGCATAGAGCTGGACGATCTCCACCAACTCCTCTGGGACGTCGTCGGCCGTCGGGCACCCACGTCGCAGGGTCGCGGGGCGCGGGCGAAAACCGGTGGCGAAGCCGAGATCGCGAGGATGGAGAGGGCCCAAATCTGCGAAAACGAGTCGTTGGGATGTGAACTTGGGGTGATGAGTTGTTGGGAAGTTGGAGGGAAGGCGGAAGCACAGTGCTTCCTGATGCAGTTACAGATCCGTGGAGAGAACGAGCGAGCGGGAACCAACCATTACCGGCACGTTTCATCTATCAAGCTAGGGTGATAAGGTCCTCTTGTCCTGCAAACCAAATTCAAACACAATGACCCAGTGCTGGTGTGGACTTTTGTTGGGCCAGGCCCAAAAAGTGCCACGCCGCCCTGGAAATACGGTCATCCTCAAATAGAAGGTCAAACACTTTGAAAAATACCTGAAGGTGACGGTGACCGTAAATTGACGGTCATCCTCAAACACTTCGGTCACTCCGACTGGATTTGACGCTCTGGGCCTTCCCCCTTCGCCGTGACGATGCGGCGCGAGCCGTGTGCGCTAGGCACAGCAGCGTCGCCCGACGAGGCCCCACCGACGAGGCGCCCGCCAACTCGTTTGGACTCGTTTTCCGCTCCGAACGACGCACAGCGTCATGAAATGAGCAAGGATCGGCACACGTGGGGGCCGAGCGGGGGGAACTCTTGCCGAGACCGTTGCCGTCAGAAGATTGGAAAACAGTTTGGAGCGATGGTTTTGCGGGAAAATTCCTTAATGGCAACATCCATGAGTACTGCTGCGTGAATCGTAGGATGATGTTTATTGCTTCTTGCATGTGCTATGGCAAGGCCCATTTTCCACCCGGGCAAGGCCCCACGCAGGCTGGGGAACAAAATTTAAGTGTTCAAAGAGGCAACGCGCAGGCGGGCCCATGAATTCATCCGAACTCTTACATGTGCGCGTTCGCGGGGGTGGCGAAGAGGGCGTTCGGGGCCAAATTTTAAAAAACCGTGAAGTTGTCCAACATGAAGCTACAACCCATGAAGTTGTCCACGTGCAAAGCTGAGTTGACCACGTGCAAAGCTGAGAAGGATTCGGTGATTGGCCGAACGGATGGGTTTTCGGTGTTCTGACCTGCTCCTTCGGTGCTTCGTTCGGAGGGGTCAAAGGAAACTCCACGGGTCGGGTCTGGAGCAAAGAGCAATCACCAAAGGTGTACCCAAATTTGGCTACTCCGACGTGTCCCAACAATGCTGGCCATCAAATATGCCCTGGAATCCTCACAAAAGGCATCTGAAGTCAGCTATTCAGACCAGACGGATGCCTCACTAAGTCCTTTGTTCACAGCGCCCTTCGTACCACAGCATTGGCCGCCCCGCGTCTCACGCATTGGAAAACTGGCCAGCCGACCTGGCAGGCCCGACATGGGGCGGTGCCTAAGCTTCGAACACGTAGTTTCATAGTTTATATCTGAAAACCTCCTTAATCACCCCAAATCAGAATAATGATGATACCACTACAATGAACAATAGTATGTTTACTACGTTAGGTATCAATACTGGATGCGCTGACTGGGCCAGTATGGGCCTATGATCACATGCAAAATGTGTGACCGATTTTTAACATGAGGTTTGGTCTGCTTCCCTTCTTCCAAGGGGGTTTCCTTTTAAATACGCACTTGGCTGGTTGCAACCACGCGTCACATGAAACAACCCTGTGATGACTCAACCCGAAGGGGGCGGTGGCAAGGAATGCCCCAGCACCACTGAACTACCAAAAACAAACGACGACACTCTACTACAAATGGCTGCCCAAATTTTACGAGAACAATCACAACATACCGAACCCACATGGCATAAACGTGCACGTCGAAGACAATTTTGCTTGTTGAATCGTTCACCCCCTGGATTTTGGTCAGTTCGTCGTCGCGGCCGAAGATCCCGTGGAGGTGGTGGGAGGGTGGAGGCCAACGACCGTGTCATGACACCAATGGGATCTGGCCCAACGACCGTGGGCGAAATTGGGCCAATACGAGCGAGGTGCTCCGTTGAGGAATCAACATTGAAAACCGGCGACGCTGGCAACACAACGCGTTCGAACCAACACGCGCGGGTTGGAGCTACAGGACTCGGCTGAACAACATGGTGGGGGAACATCGGTGCAAACGTGTAAGCCGGAAAAGTGGAACCCGCAGTGAAGGCGCTTTGTTGGGCTATGTTGGCCCAGATCAAACAACGCGCCGGCACCGACAAGCAGAACGTGCGACCCAGTCATCGCCAAGCTGCACAAGGTGGAACAAAATATAATTGCGCAAACGAAGTGAAAACTGCATGCTGTGAGGACTTTTTGGTCCACTTCAAGGGCCTGCAGTACACATCAGGTGTGTGTGTGTGTGTGTGCGTCATCCTTGCGCAGGGGCGGAGTGACTCAAGTCTCGCACTCCTCCTTGGAACCCGGGGCCAAAATGTGTGCCCCAGGTTCCACTCCAGCGATCAGATCAAGGAAGGGATAATGAATCTCCATGCTCTGATATGTTCGGCTCGTGTCAACAGGTGAACTCCTTCCCTGATCATTCCACCAGCGCTCTTCGAGCTTCTGGATATGCTGCTTTGCCCCTCGCCTTTTTGGTTTCATAATCCATTGAATGATCGGCCACCACACCACCAACAGCCCGGTCATGCTCAGATTCTGAGGTCCCTAGGTTGTTTTTCTCCTTCCATTCCCCGGTAGGTAACCCCAGTGTCTCCATTCATCGTCTTGGAAATCTGACATCATATCCACATAACCGTTGGCTTTCTGACAGTTTCTGCAAGTGATGTACAAGACATGACAGTCATGTTCGACCTTACTTCTAGGCTCCAATTTGCGGGTCGAAAGGGCGCTGCGCATCCGGGTACATGGCAGCGGAGCAATCAGTGAAGTGTTTGAGTGAGTGGGAAGTTCATCAAGCTGTCTGAACGGAGGACAAGGGACATTTGACATTTGTTGGACATTTCACTATGGCAGAGCCTGCATTGGGAGCTTCACAGCGTTCATTGCAACAGCTTGTTCAGGTGCTGCAGAATCAACAATGGGACAAATATGCCGGTATTCAAAAAATCTAGCGCGCGTGATGAGGAATTGAGACAGTGGCCTGAATGGAGGTTTGGGTTCATGCAGTTCATCAAGACTGTTGACCAGAGGGCAGCAGAGCTGCTCGAGACCGTCAACAAGAAACCGAATGGGAACTATGAAGCCTCAGAAATGGACGAAGATACCATGGCTCTGAGTGTGATGGGGTATTGGTTTTCCACATGAAGAACCGACCCCTTTCTCTGATCAGGCACATCGATGATTTCAACGGGTTCAAGTCAAGGCCTGGAGCATGCTGGTGAAGGACATGGAACCATCAACACGTCAACGAGCACTAGCATTGTTGACACAGGTCAAATGAGACGATGGCAGGACAAATTCCCGCATACGAGAAGCTGGTGAGGGAATATGAAAATGTTAATGGCAATGCATTTCCCACAAATTCGATGATGGCGGCTATTTTGCAGGCACTCCCTATTGCATCGGGGACACAGGTTCAGATGCAGTTCACAGACAGCACCACACAGGAACAGTTGAAGGAGAAGATTCTGCATTATGAGGGCATCACAACACGTTGGGATTCTACAACCAGACGAGGCCGTGCCCATGGAAGTGACATAGTTTCCAAGGGCAAGAAAGGAAAGGGCAAATACAATGAAAAAGGAAAGTTGAAGAACAAACGAAAAAATGATGGCAAGCAAGAGCAAAGGTGGCTCCACTTCAAAGGGGTCAAAGAATGATGGGCACCGAAGCGGCTGCAACAGGCGCAGGCCTCAGATGAAACCCAGTCCACCGCAGGGCAGAGCGCGTCATCGACTGCAAGATCAGTGACACGCATGCTGTCAGACGTGTGAGGTTTTTGACACCACCTGATGCCTTTAGACGACAGTGTTCGACGTGACCGAACACGACAAGGAGGATGAACGCTATGGTGAGGTGAGTCGGGTGTGGATGGTGACCCAGACCAATGAAGCACCAGATCGCTACATGCCACCTGACGACGATGAATGGCTTGTGACGTCTTTCACGAGCGGACTCCTCCAGGTGTCAGCATTGCTGCCACGCATCTTCAAGGACGATACTTCTCTGAGAGAGATCTCAAGGAGTGAAGATGAAGGAATGCAAAATGATAAGGAGTTCCACGTGCAAATGGTGCAATCAGGGCCAGAGGATTCTCAGATGGTTTCTATCACCCTGGATTCAAGGCTGACATTTCGGCTTTGCTCCTCAGCCAGGGACGTGCCAATGTTGGAGAGCTGGATGAAAACAGAAAAGTAAAAACGATTGCATGATTGACGCCCAAGGCAAGGTGATTGCCTCAGCGGGAGTGACAAAAGCAAAGCTCACAGTTCGAAGAGCAGATGGGCGCCTCATCGAAATCCATGAACACTTTGCGCTTGGCCAGGCGAAGCAACCTTTGCTATGTGCAGGCAAGTTCCTTGCCAGAGGCCGGACCATCGATCACAAAGATTGCGGATAGGAATCCAAAGCCCGAGACTTTAACCCCGCTGCGCATGGACAACAACAGCATCCACCTGAAGGCCAAGATTGAGATGGTGAGCATTGCATAGTTGACGCAGAGGCCTTTTTGCAACGGCGAAAGAATCAATGGTGGCGGCTTGAAGATGAGCAACGAAGAAGAGATGCATATGAAGAGGGCGTGGGTGAAGATGATGTGACCAAGGAGATTTGGTGCCTTCATCCGATCCTCAACGAAACCTGACGTTCATCAGCCCATCAGACTTTGAAGACTTCTACGAAGAGGGCAGTGAAGTTCCTTTGGCGCCATACCCATAGGTGAAAGATGCATTGCATCAGATCGGATGGGACGATGAAGATGATTATGATACAGGTGAGGCAGATGAGGCAGCACTAGCCATGGAAGAGTCCCAAACATCATGGCTAGATGACAAGGTTTACACCTTGGAGGCTGAGGGCAAGAAGTTGAAGCAGGC